GTCATTAGACACAGCTAGAGTGTACATGAGTGTAGATACCGTCACTAGACAGCTAATGTACATGAGTGTAGGTACCGTCACTAGACACAGCGAGAGTGTACATGAGTGTAGGTACCGTCACTAGACACAGCGAGAGTGTACATGAGTGTAGGTACCGTCACCAGACACAGCTAGAGTGTACATGAGTGTAGGTATCGTCACCAGACACAGCTAGTGTACATGAGTGTAGGTACCGTCACTTGACACAGCTAATGTACATGAGTGTAGGTACCGTCACTAGACACAGCGAGAGTGTACATGAGTGTAGGTACCGTCACCAGACACAGCTAGTGTACATGAGTGTAGGTACCGTCACTAGACACAGCGAGAGTGTACATGAGTGTAGGTACCGTCACCAGACACAGCTAGAGTGTACATGAGTGTAGGTATCGTCACCAGACACAGCTAGAGTGTACATGAGTGTAGGTACCGTCACTAGACACAGCTAATGTACATGAGTGTAGGTACCATCACTAGACACAGCTAATGTACATGAGTGTAGGTACCGTCACTAGACACAGCTAGTGTACATGAGTGTAGGTACCGTCATTAGACACAGCGAGAGTGTACATGAATGTAGGTACCGTCACTAGATACAGCGAGTGTACATGAGTGTAGGTACCGTCACTAGACACAGCTAGTGTACATGAGTGTAGGTACCGTCATTAGACACAGCGAGAGTGTACATGAGTGTAGGTACCGTCACTAGACACAGCGAGAGTGTACATGAGTGTAGGTACCGTCACTAGACACAGCGAGAGTGTACATGAGTGTAGGTACCGTCACTAGATACAGCGAGTGTACATGAGTGTAGGTACCGTCACTAGACACAGCGAGAGTGTACATGAGTGTAGGTACCGTCACTAGACACAGCGAGAGTGTACATGAATGTAGGTACCGTCACTAGATACAGCGAGTGTACATGAGTGTAGGTACCGTCACTAGACACAGCGAGAGTGTACATGAGTGTAGGTACCGTCACTAGACACAGCGAGAGTGTACATGAGTGTAGGTACCGTCACTAGACACAGCGAGAGTGTACATGAGTGTAGGTACCGTCACTAGACACAGCGAGAGTGTACATGAGTGTAGGTACCGTCACTAGACACAGCGAGAGTGTACATGAGTGTAGGTACCGTCACTAGACACATGTGTGCGCCTCGCACTCTATAAGTTGAAAAACACTTGTGAATGGCACACTTGTTACAAACTATCAAACACCTGTGGGTTAGTAACCTTTCTGTATGGCCACGACAGATGTTACACACACACACACACAATCAGGAGTGATACAAACAAGAGCAGGGTAGCTCCAATTCCTCGGATCAAGAGCTCTTCACCGGCATGAAGGCACCTATGAAACCCAGCACTAATAACATTATTATTATTAATCTCTGAAGAGAGACCTTGATGAGGGTGCCTCATTTCTTTTTCTTCCTATTTTTCGGCTTTAATTTCCCTAGCGACTTGAGAACGCCTTATAAAATCGGCATCAAATTGTCAACATTTGTGTACGGTAACAAGGACTAAATTCTTGGAACAATTCACACGTTCACGTCCCCTGTGACCAAAGTTACTGAGTCTCATTCCCTGCGTCCTGGGATACCTGGAGTATGAGGAAATGGTATGACGATACCGACAAGATGTGGAAAAAGACACTTATGTACAGTAATTTAGGTGCTTTATCGTACTTATGTGTACCGTGAAGGTTATCTGTACATTCTCCAGGTCAGCAATTTCGCCTGCTTTGAAGGGGGCAGTTAGTGTACAGCAATATTCCAGCCTAGAGAGAACAAGCGATTTGAAGAGACTCATCATGGGCTTGGCGTTCCTAGTTTTGAAGGTTCTCATTATCCATCCTATAATTTTTCTAGCAGATGTGGTAGATACATTGTTGTGGTCTTTGAAGGTGAGATCCTCTGACATTATCACTCCCAAGCCCTTCACATTACTTTTTCGCTCTATTGTATGGTTAGAATTTGTTGTATACCCTGATACAGTTTTAATTTCCTCAAGTTTTCCATACAAGAGTAGTTAAAATTTCTCTTCACTGAATTTCATATACTTTTGAGTGGCCCATTTGAAGATTTGGTAGATGTCCGCTTGGAGTCTTTGCGTTGTCTTCGACGGAGGACATTATCATGGCAATTCGGGTGTCATCCGCAAAGGAAGACACGGAGCTATGGCTTACATCTCTGTCTATGTCAGATATGAGGATGAGGAATAAGATGGGAGCGAGTACTGCGTCTTGTGGAGGTGAGCTTTTCACCGTAGCTGCCTCAGACTTGACTCTGTTTACTAGTATTCTCTCTTGGTGTTCTATTTGTTAAGAAGTTATAGATCCATCTACCAACTTTTCCTGTTATTTCTTTATCACACATTTTGTGCACTATTACACCGTGGTCGCACTTGTCGAAGGCTTTCACAAGGTCTGTGTATACTACATCTGCATTTTGTTTATCCTCTATAGCATCCACGACCCTGTCATAGTGGTCCAGTAGTTGGGACAGTCAGGAGCGCCCTGCTCTAAACCCGTGATGCCCTGGGTTGTGTAACTGATGGGTATCTAGGTGGCTGGGGATCTTGCTTCTTGGAACCCTTTCAAAGATTTTATGATATGGGATGTTAGTGTTATCGGTCTGTAGTTTTTTGCAATTGCTTTTACTGCCACCTTTGTAGAGTAGGGCTATTTCTGTTGTTTTAGTGTGTGAGATGACCCCTATGTCCATGCTTCCTCTCCAAAGAAAGCTGAAGGCACGTGACAGGGGCTTCTTGCAGTTCTTGATATCTGGGTATCTCTTAAAGATTTGAATTAGATTTGGTCGGTGTATGTCCTAATTTACCATTCGTATTGAAAACACTGGCTATTTGTTTCTAAATAATGGGTTATGAATGCCTCTTTTGAGTCCCTTCAAATCTTATGCTGCGTTCTGTGGCTCGGTTAACAACACACTCGCCTTACTGTTTCCCCGGCACGGGTGGAAACGTAGGGCATCTTTCCTTACACCTGCTGTCACTGTTCACCTAGCGGTAAGTAGGTACCTGGGTGTTAGTCGACTGGTGTGGGTGGCATTCTCAGGGACAAAATTAAATGACCACAATGGGTGGCTATCCTTCCCTACCCAGGATTATCCTGGGTGGCTAACTTTCCTTACCCAGGGATAAAAATCAAAACAAAATCTTATTTTATTCCAGTCGCGTGCACTGAGGCACAGGAAACTGGCGTTATAGAATACTGGATATTTTCCTCCAGTTGTCTGCGAGAGAGAGAGAGAGAGAGAGAGAGAGAGAGAGAGAGAGAGAGAGAGAGAGAGAGAGAGAGAGAGAGAGAGAGAGAGAGAGAGAGAGAGAGAGAGTATGCTCCACTTTCTTGGTTCGCCTGCCCCCCCTCTCATCTGCGACTGCTTGACAGAGTAGAGAACAGAGCAAGACGTCTCATCTCTCGCCTGGACCCATCCTGGATAGATCTGTCATATCAGCAGAGCCTTCAACATAGGAGGGATGTGGGTGGCCTTACTGTTATGTACAAGGCCAATATTGTCAAAGTGCCACACTTGGATCCACTTCGAGGACAGCGTGAAACAAACTTTTATGCCACAAGACGGGCAGAAAGCAGCAACTACACTCTGGCTGTACCCTTCTCCAGAACATCACTCCATCTGAGATCATATATACCCAGGATGACTCGAGTATGGAACACATTCGTACAGGATAATGATGTCAGCGAGATAAAGTCAGTTGATCACATGAAAATGCTGGCCCACAGATGGCTCCAACTTCATCCTGTTCCCTACTTGTATGTCTCATAACAATAAAAATGCTTTCCAATGAGCTGATGTAGGTAACAGCTCTTGGCTTGCCAATAAAGTTAGGAATCTTTAACCTGTAAATAGCTTGTCAATAAAGCTAGGGATCCTTAACCTTGTCAAACCCTGTGTAAAAAAAGAGAGAGAGAGAGAGAGAGAGAGAGAGAGAGAGAGAGAGAGAGAGAGAGAGAGAGAGAATGGTCGTGAGATTGTCTTGAGGGAATGACACATCACGGATGTTCTCGTTCGTGACCTTGAGGAGGAGGTGGAAGAGGAGGGGAGGTGACGGAGGAGGTGGAAGAGAAGGGGAGGTAGTAGAGGAGGAGAAAGAAGAGAAGATGGAGAAGGGAAGATGGTGGTGGTGGTGGAGGAGGAGAAGGAGAAGAAGGAGAAGGAGGAGAAGGAGAAGGAGGAGAAGGAGAAGGAGAAGGAAGAAGCTGGGAAATAGGGGGAAGGAGGGTTAATGTAGTATTCATGCGCCAGAGAATGTCATGGCCGGGGTGTGCGTTTAGGAGGGCATGTATACAGGCAGACTGGCATGTATATAGGCAGGCAGGCAGGCAGGCAGGCAGGCAGGCAGGCAGGCAGGCAGGCAGGCAGGCAAGTAGACAGGCAGGCAAACAGATAGGCAGACAAGCAGGCAGGCAGGCAAGCAGACAGCCAGGCAGGCAAGCAGATAGGCAGGCAGGCAAGCAGATAGCCATGCAGGCAAGGAGATAGCCAGGCAGGCAAGGAGATAGCCAGGCAGGCAAGGAGACACCCAGGCAGGCAAGGAGATAGCCAGGCAGGCAAGCAGATAGCCAGGCAGACAAGCAGATAGCCAGGCAGGCAAGCAAACAGCCAGGCAGGCAAGCAAACAGCCAGGCAGGCAAGCAGATAGCCAGGCAGGCAAGCAGATAGCCAGGCAGGCAAGCAAACAGCCAGGCAGGCAAGCAGATAGCCAGGCAGACAAACAGATAGCCAGGCAGGCAAGCAAACAGCCAGGCAGGCAAGCAAACAGCCAGGCAGGCAAGCAGATAGCCAAGCAGGCAAGCAGATAGCCAGGCAGGCAAGCAAACAGCCAGGCAGGGAAGGAGATAGCCAGGCAGGCAAGCAGATAGTCATGCAGGCAAGCAGACAAGCAGACAGCCAGGCAGGCAAGCAGAGTTGCCCTACCTGTCGAGTGAGAGCGGCCACGTCGTCCTTGGTGAGCTGAGTATCCCAGGTCTCCTTCAGGTAGTTACTGATCTCCTGACGGACGTATGGGAACAGCTCCTCCTGTTGACAAGCAATCACCAGCTTCACACCACTATATGATCATACTCTGATGATGATGATGATGATTATTGTAATAATAATAATAATAATAATAATAATAATAATAATAATAATAAAGAAGCAGCAATGTTTTCAGTTGTACAGGACTGAGAACTCTCTCTCTCACATTCACACACACACACACACACACACACACACACACACACACACACACACACACACACACACACACACACAATGACTGTAACACCATGACTAACAGCTGTTTGCTGCGTTACTGAACACTTGACATAGTACTTCCGGTGCGATACTACGGGGCGTATCCGGTAAGATAGCTCTCTCTTTATGTGTGTGTGTGTTATACATATATATATATATATATATATATATATATATATATATATATATATATATATATATATATATATATATATATATATATATATATATATATGTATATATATGAGAGAGAGAGAGGAATGGAATGAACTAGCGGTTAATGCTAACTACCTGTCAATGTTGTAAGAGTGAAGTCAACAGTCGTTCCAAAAAGCAGGTCCCTTGTGGGAGCTGCCAGAGCCTTCAGTAGCACCTGCTCAGTATACATCTGTCAGTCAAGGATGCTGGGTCAGCCCAAACTGTTTAACATGTAAGAGAATGTGATAATAAGTAATACTGGCCAGTAAGGTATGCGGTAATGTAGTATAGCGAGAGAAGACACTCGCTTCTTTGTTCAGGAACTCACTAATCCCACACTAAACCCACGCGGACCGTCATATACATTCAGTAGATGAGGCATTCTGAAGTCAAAAAATTCCTGATGTCTATTCAGTAACTACATCAAGAGGATCAGTTAACGAGGCAACTACGTCAATAATGGTAGTAGCGGTAGATGTACCACTATTACCCCACTACCACTGTGAGTGGTAGTGGAGTAACAGGGTAATTTAAGATAAAAACTATAATAATTTAGTAGAGGTAGTTGTAGTCAATGTCTTCCATCCAGTTCTTTCCTTCATGCCATTTTCCCAATACGGTATGGTACATTTTTTCCTTGTTTTCGTGCGGGCAGTGGCCAAACTCGTTGTTGCGAGGCCTCTCTTAGATATATATTTTCAGCACGTTATTTATAACCCCTTTATTTATTCCTGTCTTCCATTTGTACACTTCAATCATACCCTCCCTAATTCTACGCCTCTGTGGATTCCAAGTCCTTTGCTGTCTCCCAGGTACTTTCTGTAAGTCTCCGTCTGTCTCAACTTCAGTTCCCTGCTTCCGTACTTCAGGATGGGCCAGCTATTGAGCCTTCATGTGTTGTCACTCGTTACTGACTTAAGGGGCACGTAAGTTCCCCCATCTAATAACATGTTCATTTTTCCACTATAATCTACCTTGTCCATAATTACTATCACATTTGCTTTGTCTGTTTTGTAAGGTGAAGTCTAGGATATTTCCTTAATTCATGGTATAACTTAACAAATCTTTGAGGACATTTGTGTTGGAGAGGTCTGAGCAAAGCTCAGGATCTAGGAAAGATCCTAGACTTGACCTTAGGAAACAGACAAAGCAAATGTGATAGTTATTATGGACGAGGTAAATTATAGTGGAAAAATTAACATGTTATTAGGAGACGGGGGAACTTAGGTGCCTCTTAACGTGGTAACCATACTGGACGTCTCTTGTGTATCGGTGGTAGTCCCTATACATCAATGAAATCCCTGGCGGCCAAAACTTCTATATAAATGCCATAAACCGCATAGTGTGACTTATTCACATACGTATGTTTTTTGTAGATAAAACGTGTTTAATAAAAGGTCTGTTTTTGCTATTTTTGTGTCTAGTACTGTATAGCCCTTGTGGCTTAGCGCTTCTTTTTGATTATAATAATTGTGTCTAGTAGCCACAGGTACTTGCAGCCAAAGTGCTTTTTGTGAAGCATGCAGATGTACTGTTCATCAGGTAATGATATAAATCATGATTTTATTGCATTGCTTATCAATACATATTCGTGCAGAGTTGCTAATATTGACAACTAGTGTAAATCAGCTGACTTGAGTTACGTGATTCCATAACCTCAGTAGTCTTAATTAGTAACAATGTAATGTAGCTGTTTACAGACTTGTCGATGACGCACTCTCATACAATGTTAAGATAACACACAGCGGATGAGCGAGTTGTCCAGCTACTGATTGTAGTCTCCACCTTCAAACATTCATGTCAAAGACTGCTCGCATAAATACCACCTTCAACCTACTTACCCTATTCTTCTCTTCTTATAATTATTATTATTATTATTATTATTATTATTATTTGGGGGGAAAGGGAGGCAGTCAGGTCTGACCACTGACAAATTACCTAAGACCAGGAGCGTCCAACATGCTTCCCGCCTGAAATTTTTTGCAACATATTTTCTACCTAAATTGAACATGAGAAAATAAAAATGAAGGCACACTGCAGTAGACCTATTGGCTCATGTAGGTAGGTCTAACTCCCAACCACTCTGGAATGGGGAGGTAATCAGGAATGATTAAAAGACATAGTTTGAGTCCTTCAACAGTATCAAGGCCCCCCATTGAAGAGATAGCAAGGAGTAGAAGTAGAGAAATGGTAGAAATAGAGGTAGCAGTAGTACAAGGATTTAACTATAGAGCTTTCCACAATGAAGGTCTCTCGTTTGCTTACTGGTAACTAGTGCTTTTTGGATCCCTTCTTGTCAATAATGAAGATCGATCTGGCCACTGTTCCAATTTTTAAAACATTTTGTAACTCATTACACCATGGCTAGTTGTCGAAAGAGTTCGTGATGTTTGTGTAAATTACGCGAGTGTTTTTGCTTGTTCAATGGGACCATAACCCACACAGCTGCTAAACCATGAAAGGTATGCTTGATTGTATCCTCTTTGCCATCCTGAAGAATATGACAGAATATGACAAAAAATATGCTCTGTGGAGTATGACGGAAAAAGCTGTCACATGTAGTATGACAAGAAAACTGTCTTGTGATTGTGACAGGAAACACATCGTCTGTGGAATATAAGAGGAAACCATCCTTTATGGAATGACAGGAAAACCATCCAGTGACCAAGTATAACACCTATGATAGAGAATGACAGGAAAATCATCCAGTGATAGAATATGGCAGGAAAACCATCCTGTGGAGAATGACAGGGATATATCCTGTAGGTCAGTGTGGAGTTTGGGTCCTGGTCAGATCTCGCGCATTTTATTACAATGCAACATATAATTATGTTATGTATACGCTGGCAGCAATTGTTATTTTTGTGCAGTTTTTTAGTTTGAGAGATATTAGCAAAAATAATACATTTGACGTAAGAGGCACATCAACAACGTGCAGCGCACCAGGTCAGTCACAGCAACCTGAACAGACGCATCGAATGTAAAAAACACAATATAAACAAAAACACATCGAATGTAAACAAAAACACATCGAATGTAAAGAAGAGCACATCGAATGTAAACAAAAACACATTGAATGTAAACAGAAGCACATCGAGTGTAAACAGACATCGAATGTGAATCAAGGCGCGCCACTCCCATATCTACTGCTGGCAGAATATAGCTTAGTTACGTCAGGTTACATTAGGTTGAGTTGTCTTAGGTTTCATTAGGTCAGGCAACGTTTCGTATCATTTCTACAAAAATAACACCACCTAATGTTGGACATATTAGGGAATAAATTAACGATAAACTCAGACCAGGACCTAGTCTCAATGTAAATAACCCAGTTCACTTTATGCCTGTTGTACCTGTTTTTTTTTATTGTAAATGATTTTCAAGCAGATGAGTTGCTTAGTTGTTTTAATTTATAAGGATATATTCATAAATAATTTCTATTGTCTTACAGCTAGGCTTTAAATAATAAGATATTATAAGGTTCCTATGGAAATGTCACTTCGTCTGACTTTTCAAGGGGGTTATGCGAGGTAATTTACACGTGTTACTCTGTATAATAATTGTAGTCACTTCAATTTTGTGTGACTGTACTTACGTATACCTGTATCTAAATAAACTTATTTGGAGTAGCAGCACACTGTGGATGTACTCAAGTTAGCTGACTAATAGGTCATCAATGTATATACTAACTGTCACCTCCCAGTTATCCTCACACATCTGCTGCCAACCACCTCTGCTGAAATAATAATCATGCTATGTACTGGACTGAGAAAAATCTCTCAAGTTTAAATAAGATGTTACACGGATCCCAGTAGAAATAAGTCACTTTGACTTCTTTTTGGATAATCTTAGGTAATTTACACTATATATGATGATGTACTTATAGTGTACCTGTGCCTAAATAAACTTAGTGGATGTGCTGTGTGAAGCCCCACAACTCATCACTTTAAACAAACATATAAGTTTATTAATATTACTCTCTCTGTTTTATGGCCAAAAATATTCATTTTCATCCTTGGACACAGATGAAGGTATTGCTGAAAATAATATAAAATAAAGACAATTTAGAGGTCAGTCCCTCAGCCAGGCTGAGGGACTGACCTCCTCCAAAGTTGAGGGACTGACCTCCTCCAAGGTTGAGGGACTGACCACCTCCAAGATTGAGGGACTGACCACCTCCAAGGTTGAGGGACTGACCACCTCCAAGGTTGAGGGACTAACCACCTCCAAGGTTGAAGGGCTGACCACCTCCAAGGTTGAGGGACTGACAACCTCCAAGGTTGAGAGACTGACCTCCTCCAAGGTTGAAGGACTGACCACCTCCAAGGTTGAGGAACTGACCACCTCCAAGGTTGAGGGACTGACCACCTCCAAGGTTGAGGGACTGACCACCTCCAAGGTTGAAGGACTGACCACCTCCAAGGGTGAGGGACTGACCACCTCCAAGGATGAGGGACTGACCACCTCCAAGGTTGAAGGACTGACCACCTCCAAGGGTGAGGGACTGACCACCTCCAAGGATGAGGGACTGACCACCTCCAAGGTTGAGGGACTGACCACCTCCAAGGTTGAGGGACTGACCATCTCCAAGGTTGAGGGACTGACCACCTCCAAGGTTGAGGGACTGACCACCTCCAAGGATGAGGGACTGACCACCTCCAAGGATGAGGGACTGACCACCTCCAAGGTTGAGGGGCTGACCACCTCCAAGGTTGAGAGGCTGACCACTTCCAAGGTTGAGGGACTGACCACCTCCAAGGTTGAGGGACTGACCACCTCCAAGGATGAGGGACTGACCACCTCCAAGGTTGAGGGACTGATCACCTCCAAGGTTGAGGGACTGACCACCTTCAAGGTTGAGGGACTGACCACCTCCAAGGTTGACGGACTGACCACCTCCAAGGTTGAAGGGCTGACCACCTCCAAGGTTGAGGGACTGACCACCTCCAAGGTTGAGGGACTGACCACCTCCAAGGTTGAGGGACTGACCACCTCCAAGGTTGAGGGACTGACCACCTGCAAGGTTGAAGGACTGACCACCTCCAAGGTTGAGGGACTGACCACCTCAAAGGTTGAAGGACTGACCACCTCCAAGTTTGAGGGACTGACCACCTCGAAGGTTGAAGGAATGACCACCTCCAAGTTTGAAGGACTGACCACCTCCAAGGTTGAAGGACTGACCACCTCCAAGGTTGAAGGACTGACCACCTCCAAGGTTGAAGGACTGACCACCTCCAAGGTTGAAGGACTGACCACCTCCAAGGTTGAGGGACTGACCACCTCCAAGGTTGAGGGACTGACCACCTCCAAGGTTGAAGGACTGACCACCTCCAAGGTTGAGGGACTGACCACCTCCAAGGTTGAAGGACTGACCACCTCCAAGGTTGAAGGACTGACCACCTCCAAGGTTGAAGGACTGACCACCTCCAAGGTTGAGGGACTGACCACCTCCAAGATTGAGGGACTGACCACCTCCAAGGTTGAAGGACTGACCACCTCCATGGTTGAGGGACTGACCACCTCCAAGATTGAAGGGCTGACCACCTCCAAGGTTGAAGGACTGACCACCTCCAAGGTTGAAGGACTGACCACCTCCAAGGTGAAGGGACTGATGACCTCCAAGGTTGAAGGGCTGACCACCTCCAAGGTTGAGGGACTGACCACCTCCAAGGTTGAGGGACTGACCACCTCCAAGGTTGAGGGACTGACCACCTCCAAGGTTGAAGGAATGACCACCTCCAAGTTTGAAGGACTGACCACCTCCAAGGTTGAAGGACTGACCACCTCCAAGGTTGAGGGACTGACCACCTCCAAGGTTGAGGGACTGACCACCTCCAAGGATGAGGGACTGACCACCTCCAAGGTTGAGGGACTGATCACCTCCAAGGTTGAGGGACTGACCACCTTCAAGGTTGAGGGACTGACCACCTCCACGGTTGAGGGACTGACCACCTCCAAGGTTGAGGGACTGACCACCTCCACGGTTGAGGGACTGACCACCTCCAAGGTTGAGGGACTGACCACCTCCAAGGTTGAGGGACTGACCTCCTCCAAGGTTGAGGGACTGACCACCTCCACGGTTGAGGGACTGACCACCTCCAAGGTTGAGGGACTGACCACCTCCAAGGTTGAGGGACTGACCACCTCCAAGGTTGAGGGACTGACCACCTCCAAGGGTGAGGGACTGACCACCTCCAAGTATGAGGGACTGACCACCTCCAAGGTTGAGGGACTGACCACCTCCAAGGTTGAGGGACTGACCATCTCCAAGGTTGAGGGACTGACCACCTCCAAGGTTGAGGGACTGACCACCTCCAAGGGTGAGGGACTGACCACCTCCAAGGTTGAGGGACTGACCACCTCCAAGGCTGAGGGACTGACCACCTCCAAGGTTGAGGGGCTGACCACCTCCAAGGTTGAGAGGTTGTCCACCTCCAAGGTTGAGGGACTGACCACCTCCAAGGTTGAGGGACTGACCACCTCCAAGGATGAGGGACTGACCACCTCCAAGGTTGTTGGACTGATCACCTCCAAGGTTGAGGGACTGACCACCTTCAAGGTTGAGGGACTGACCACCTCCAAGGTTGACGGACTGACCACCTCCAAGGTTGAAGGGCTGACCACCTCCAAGGTTGAGGGACTGACCACCTCCAAGGTTGAGGGACTGACCACCTCCAAGGTTGAGGGACTGACCACCTCCAAGGTTGAGGGACTGACCACCTCCAAGGTTGAGGGACTGACCACCTCCAAGGTTGAGGGACTGACCACCTGCAAGGTTGAAGGACTGACCACCTCCAAGGTTGAGGGACTGACCACCTCCAGGTTTGAGGGACTGACCACATCCAAGTTTGAGGGACTGACCACCTCCAAGGTTGAGGGACTGACCACCTCCAAGGTTGAGGGACTGACCACCTCCAAGGTTGAGGGACTAATTACATCATCTTTATTGCATTACCACTGGTCACTATATTGACTGAAGAAGTCTACTGTATAGGCGAAACATTTCATCAATAAAGATAGCCAAGAGTTACACATGTCAACACATAAAGCTACTTGTGATCTCGACATAACAGTATATTGGAAGACACGGGCCCAGATACACATAAAACATCAATATGATAAATATTAAAAGATTGTAGCATCACCTGTTGTCTAGCCGGCTACTGCCAGACTAAACTCACCTTTACGAAGCTAATAGAGGTCGTTGTGCCTTCTATGTCCAACATAATGATGTCAACTTCGTTCACCAGATTCGCAAAGTCTTCTTGACGTCGTTTCATCTTGAAATATGAGTGAAAAATGATATTAAAAATGAAGTTGGTGGAGTCCTCGCTCTGATTATCCTCAGAGAATTGACATGCCGGCATTTGCTAAAAGTGCATAATATCCGTAGATATATATTATGTGAAATTCTAATTACTTGTTAAACTGTATAATGGCATAATTTATCCTCGTCAGTTGAGAATGTTTTGGATTAAGTATATTAACTTTTTGAGTCCATGGCGACCATTACTACCAACCGAAAAAGTAGTACAAGCTCACGCATGCGTATTTATTTCATCATTCAGCATCAAACAATGTAAATGTGAGTTGACATAGACATTTAAAGACATGTAAAGGAATAAATGGTGTTGAGTGAGGCGCGTTAGGTGTTTGTTTGGAGTTACCATGGCGGCTACGTGGCAGGGAGGAACATACCAACCGGAACACCCAGCATCACATACACGTCATGAGAACGGAAATAAAACATTTTTACAACTATTAAAAACGCGGAGTTTTACCCCACAACACAGAACACAGATCAACGTTTTAAGTGTACTTTTAATTTCTTCACTCATTTGAAAAGTCAAGTGATGGATGAGTTAAATAAGAGTGTGTGTGTGTTTGTGGTCCATGTTTAGTTTCTACATGAGGTGAGGTAAACAACCAATCAGAGTGAGTGTTGCAAGTGTGGTTGGCCAGTGCAGAGTGAGGCAGGGGAGGGAGCGGCCCACTCTCTCTCTCTCTCTCTCTCTTGGGGTGCCCCTTAATATTCACCTTTCCTACTTAATTACCGCCTGCATCTGTCGGAGAGGTAAGTAAGGGGGTGAGATCACATGTGGCTGGAGAGATGGCAGGTGTCTGGCCTGGATCACCAAGGAACATCACCAAGCTGTGAGAGGGGATGGGAAATGCCAGGTACCGCAAACAACACCGGCCTGTCAGAAAGTCATTTAACCATCCTTGTGTTGTGTTTTGCTCGTTACAACACCCGGGAGCACTGCATCACTGCTCTCTGTCCTTGGATCTGAACCGCCGTGTGTGGACGTACGGGCGTGCGTGTGTGTGCGGCGGGACACATGTGGAAACGCAATATCTCGTTTTGTTGACGTTTGGTGTGTTGTCAGAAGGGGGCTGGCGCCCCCGAGGAGCCGGGGATGCCGCCCCCTACTGGGCCAGGGCTGGCGCCCCCGAAGAGCCGGGGATGCCGCCCCCCACGTCCAGGGATGGCACCTCCAAGGGGGCGGGGGGTGCTGCCCCCACAGGGCCTGGGATGGCACCCTTCACCAGTGCTGGCATCCCCATAGGGCCAGAGGTGGCACCCTCATAGGGCCAGGGATGGCATCCCCATGGAGCTAGGGATGGCACTCATCACCAGTGCTGGCATCCCCATAGGGCCTGGGATGGCACCCCTCATCACCAGTGCTGGCATCCCCACAGGGCCAGGGCTGGTACCTCTCATCACCAGCATTGGCACCCTCATGGAGCCAGTGATGGCACCCCCACAGGGCCAGGGCTGCTGCCCCCAGGAGCCATGGATGGGACCCTCACGACTTGGGATGGCACCCCCACAGGGCCAAAGATGGCACCTTCACAAGTCCAGGGACTTGTACTCCCACAGGGGCCAGGGCTGGTACTTCCACAGGGGCCAGGGCTGGTACTTCCACAGGGGCCAGGGCTGGTACTTCCACAGGGGCCAGGGCTGGTACTTCCACAGGGGCCAGGGCTGGTACTTCCACAGGGGCCAGGGCTGGTACTTCCACAGGGGCCAGGGCTGGTACTTCCACAGGGGCCAGGGCTGGTACACCCACAGAACCAGGGCTAGGTACTTCACAAGGCCAGGGCTGGCACCCACAAGGCCAAGGGGGCACCACTCTGGGTGGTGTATCCTTGATACTTATGAAGGGTCTTGATCCAAGGAATTGGATCGTGTGTCCCCTTTCGTGTGATAGAACCCAAATGCCTATCATTCTCCCAGGCCCTGTGTGGCCCCCAATGGCTTTTAATGCTCAAGGTTGATTGCTGGTTGATCACAAGTAACAATAGACTATAATAGTTATTGCCATTTACTATATTGAACTTGTATATATTATTAATTATGATTAATGTAATTGAAAAAAGTGACGTGTTTTGACAAGATCAGAGTTTCAGTTCATATCACAATTTGACCATCATCCCTTTGATTTAACTATAACAGACTACATATATTTAAACTATTTGCAATACACTAGGTTCATTGAACATATCGTGTTATACATATGATAGATACATTGTGCATATTGTTCGAGAACACACAGTAGATGTTTGTGTGTTGTGGCTTCTGATAAGTTATCTCCACATAGATGAGGTGGCTCGGTGGCCTGGTGGCTAAAGCTCCCGCTTCACACACAGAGGGCCCGGGTTCGATTCCCGGCGGGTGGAAACATTTCGACACATTTCCTTACACCTATTGTCCTGTTCACCTAGCAGCAATTAGGTACCTGGGTGTTAGTCGACTGGTGTGGGTCGCATCCTGGGGGACAAGATTTGAGGACCCCAATGGAAATAAGTTAGACAGTCCTCGATGACGCACTGACTTTCTTGGGTTATCCTGGGTGGCTAACCCTCCGGGGTTAAAAATCCAAACGAAATCTTATCTTATCTCTTATAACCCCTCAAGGAAGGTTCCTTGATACTGGTGAGGGGCTCTTGATCTAGGGAATTGGATATGTGCTCCAGTTCCCTGTATTTATTTATTTATATAATGTCTTTGCAAACAGTACATTGAGATTGTGTATATACAATAGTGGGTTGCAATGCAAAGAGCCTCTATTATGCCTTGGCATTATGGGCCAACTTAACATTATTGGCTTACATTCTACTTAATACTAAGAAATAGTATATCATAGTTGTACAGTAGGAAAGTAATTATCTCATAGTTGTACAGTAGAATATTAATTATAAATGAATCAAAATTTGTATAATACAAAGATATACGTATTTATATTCTAAAATGCTTTTGTGAAAAACAATGATTCAATTATATTCCTGTTAACAATGGATAAAAGGTTCAATGTGATTGTTTCAGTTATGATGTGGGAGTACATAGGTGAGTAAATGTATACTGAGTATTTAGCATTTAGTCTAGGGTGATTAAGTGGCTTTTGAGAAGAGTCTTAAATTGATTTTCAGACTGGGTTACTTTAATATCTTCTGGTAATGAATTCCACATCCCTCCACAGGCATTGTATAATCCTACGGGTTTAGTGCTTTGTAATAATAATCAACATAGATAAATTTAGTGTTTTTTTCCTTGCATTTATACTGTACTCTGCTTGGTTTTGACTACCATAGTACTGTAAATTCTTGTGTCTGGTTCGATCCCCGGTACGGGTGGAAACATTAGGGCGTGTTTCCTGAAGACACTTCGTGTCCCTGTTCACCTATCCATATGTAGGTACCTGGGTGTTAGTTGAGTGGTGTGGCACATCATGGGGACAAAATTAACCTAAGTTGCCTGAAATGCTCTACATAACCAGGGCTGGCATCCCCGAGTAGCCGGGGATGCCGCCCCCTACTGGGCCAGGGCTAGCACCCCCGAGGAGCCGGGGATGCCGCCCCCTACTGGGCCAGGGCTGGCACCCCCGAGGAGCCGGGGATGCTGCCCCCTACTGGGCCAGGGCTGGCACCCCCGAGGAGCCAGGGATGCCACCCCCTACTGGGCCAGGGATGGCAACTCCATTGGGCCGGGGGTGCCGTCCCCCACGTCCAGGGATGGCACATCCAAGGGGGCTGGGGATGCTGACATCACTGACATACCTGTAGTATGTCACTGATGTCAGCTATTGTCTGTATAAGTTGTATCATGTTATTGCAGAAATGTATTATATATTATTATAGTATATTGAAGTTGCATATCTTTATACAGTAGGACTTATTAAGTGAAGCAATTTGGTTCTGAAGATTTTTTTAAGGCATTTGAGGTGGACTTTATTGCAGTAACTGTAGATTCAGCAGGTATGTCCATTTGTAGGGACAACAGGGTTTGACCTTGGCTGAGAACATTTGCATATAAAAAATAATTTTAGTAATACGATAGTTAAATGTGAGATTTAAAGTTTGACTCTGCAGTGATCACACTGTTTACAGAACTTTTTTATTATTATTCCTAGTCAATTTGTAGGTACATATTGGTAGGTTATGCTTAAAAACTAATACAGTAGAACCCCCATATCCACATATTCGGTTTCTGCAGCTTCAATTATCCACGGTTTACCATGGCCTGAAAATAGCCTTAACTTTGCTTAATAATGACACAATAGTGATGGTGTCAGTTCATCAAGAAGCCGTGAAGTGCCTCCCATAAGTAAAAAAGCTCTAATTCTCGACTTATTGTGTGTAATTTATAAATGTATGTAAATGAAAAGTGACTTGTATATAGGGTCACTACTATCCATAATTTTGGGTATCCACGGTAGTCCTTGGAATTCATCCCCTGTGGATGTGGGGGGACCACTATACTGTATTTAACTTCTCATTAAAAATTAGTGCAAAATTTCACAATGATTTAAATTATGTAAAGGTTTATTGTAATGTTTTATATTTACTATATATATGCTCTTCTGTTGTAATTAGCAAATAACTTATTAGATCTTATTGTACTGTACAATATTACATTGTGTATGAGCAGAGTAGGAACAATAATAGGTGGTTTGAAGACAGGTGAGAGTGCAGGGAATCTTAACCCTTGAATGGTCCAAACGTATATATACGTTTTTTCAACATCTGAAAGTATGTAAAAAAATGTAGATCTTTGTTTTTTGTTTTACATTTGAAAACGTGTAAAAAAAACTTTTATCTACATTTTTTTTTGTTATATTTGAAAATATGTAAAAAAAAGTAATCTACTTTTGTAGCACTACGAATTTGAACGCCGATTTGTTTGGACCGTTTAAGGGTTAAAGGTCATATAGTGGCAGAAGAGTAATGCATTTATGGGTATCATCAAATTGTGATGTCATTGATATTGGTGAGTATTGCCTAGTTTTTTGGTGGTATCGGTATTAGCCTAAAATTTAGTATATAGGTATCTGCAAAAATTTGGGTTCATCCCATCACTACTTATGAGCCTTGTGGCTTTAAATAGATAAGGCTTGTTGGGCTGTTGTCTTGGCCACTCTTAAAGAAAGGAGTTCATGGGGTGAAATACCCATAAAGTATAGGTGAATAGGCATAAGCAAAGTCCCTTGGCTGTCAGTACGCAAAGTGGCAGCAAAATAGTTGTTTGCCGAGTTTAACCGTTATTATATGATTAATTTTGATAGGAAAGTCATTGAATTTGAATACCGCTGGTACAGTATAGTAAATTTTTAACTGAATTGTTAATTTTTTCAATAATTTAAATAGGTCTTCCTGCCATTCCAATGTTTCATAGATCTACCGAGTCTGACTACGTTTTCCTTTATTTTGTTTTATCCTGATATTCTATCATTGGTGCCATGGAAGGTGTCTGTACATGTGGCTTCCCTTCAATACACCATGGTAAAGTCTTAAGGTTTTATGAAAAACACATAGGAGGTTCAAAATCACTTGTGACACTTATGTTTGCAAAATTTGAGATTGGCACTGTTTCTTGCAGTAACTTTAACCCTTTCAGGGTCCGTCCCGTAGATCTACGGCTTTACGTTCAGGGTCCAAACTGTAGATCTACGTCATGAGCTCAGCTTACTCTGATAAACTGAGAGTGGTACATTTGGGCCTAGATATGAGAGAATACATCTATGTGGTATGTGTGCACCACATAAAACAGATCCTGCAGCACACTGTGTATAATGAGAGAAAAAAAACTGAAATCATGATTTTTCGATTAAAACAGCGACTTTGCAGTGTTTTTTCGTAGGTTTTTTTATAGTTGTATTTGCGATTTCTTGGTCTCATTTGATAGAATGGAAGACATATTACAGAAATAGAGATAATTTTGATTGGTTTTAGCACTGGAAATGGCTTGAAACTGAGCTCAAAGTAGCAGAAATGTTAAATTTTTGCCGATATTCAAGAATAAACAAACGACCTCACACGTCTAATACACGCCAGCTGGTGGGTCTAATATGCATTCACAAATATGGTGATGATATTTATACAATTATTACAGTATTGCATAACAGTAGATCTTCTATTTTTTGGTGTGAATAAAAATTCATTATGTGAATAAAAAATCAAAATGGAATTTATTTGTAAAGCCTCAAAACGTAAATAATGAACAGAGGAAATGTTAGTTTAGTTCCAGGAATAACTACATTGTTTATTCTGGACCCTATTTTGAAATTGGAATATTTTGAACTTTGTGTTAAATTGGCCAAATTAACAATTTCCGGTCACTTTAATTTGTAGTTGAAGCAGTTGACTTGGCGATTTCTTGTGCTCAATCGATAGAATAGAAGTAATACTAGTGAAATAGCTAAGAATTTGGTTGACTGGAATAATGTAATTGGCCTAAAATGGGAGTCAAAGTCGGCAAAATCGCCGATTCGTAAATATCGCTGACACATCAAAATTCGCGAGAGCATAATTTCGTCAATTTTCCATCAAATTTCGTACTTTTTGTTTTATTACATTCACAAAAAGATTCTCTACCATTTCATAAGAAAAAATAACAAATTTTTTTTTTGAAAATTCTTGGACACTGGGGCACCACTTCAGATTTGGGCCTTGGACCCTGAAGGGGTTAAAAGAACTGCTTAGCATCATGCTGGATGTAAATGGTACTATATAAAATACCAACAATTTTTTTGAAGTGCTTTGCTTACAGACCAAACCCTTTCAAGTCTTTGACTTGCCAAAAAAATTCTTAATCTCTTAAGCAAAATGCTGCCTAAATAGTGTCCAAACTTCTTGTCTTTTATTAAACAACCAGGTTTCATAATAACTGTTATACTATACATCACTGTATGAAATGTAATTTTCTTTGCATGTTGAAAGGGGCCCATAAATGGTCTGGTCAGTTCACTGATTAACCTCTACGACCACTCCACAAGTGATCATAACATGTGAATTCTAATGCAAATGAAGCTTCATTGTAATAGGTGAAGACCTTTTAGTTATGGACATTAAATAATTGTTCTATTGCCCCACTACTGTATATAGTATTGTGCTCCAGCAGATTACCTGGAGGGTGTTCCGGGGGTCAGTGTGCCCCCGTGTGACCTGGTCCATGACCAGGCTTCATCATGGATCAGGGCCGCATCAACTGCTGTCTGCACGCAAACAGACATACAAACCACAGCCTGGTTGATTGGGAACTGACTTTAGGTGCCTGTTCAGCTCCTTCATTAGTGATATCACAAGATCAGAATGATAGTTTTCCATGGTTTATCTTGAGACTAAAGGTATCTGTTGAGGTCAGTCCAGGGTCTGCAAATTTGCATTCCAAGCAGGTGCTCATCTTGCATTCCAAGCAGGTGCTCATCTTGCATTCCAAGCAGGTGCTCATCTAGCATAATGGGTGGTCTTTGATCAATTGATCTGGGCTGCGGTATGCTTTTTTCCTTCAGGGTTTAACAGGTCTTCATGGCTACTATAGGGGCTCACATACATTGTCCCTCCTATTGTAATCTACTACTTGCTCATTGCCCAGGTTTTACAACTAGTATTTAAATTCTTGTTAGTATAATAATAAATAGCCTTGTCAAATATTTTTCCATGTGTAGATTAAGATATAAGATATAAGTTTTAATTTGAGAAAATTGAGCAGTATAAGATCTGTGTCCATTTCTACATATAACTGTGTATAGGATTTATATGGAAACTTTTCTTTTTTATTGCATGACAGATACTCTATATATTTTACCTTTAGGATTACAGTACATACTGTAATATGTTACATGGATTACATCTAGCACACTAATTTTGACAGTGGTGTTTGTAAGAGGACATCATGGACTTCTTGGTTCTTGGCGGTGTGGTGCTGGTATTGACAGTGCTGGTATACATACTGGCCACCTTAGGTACAAAGGAAACCCCTTTCGAAGAGGCTATAGCAGAGCAGCGGCAAAAACGTGATCAAGAAAGTTCACAAACAAAGACTGATAAGCAGCACAAGAAACAGAAGGTGAGTGTGGCTGCTTATGCTGATAATCAAGAATACTGTAGTTGGGAATAAAACACTGTTGCATTGTTGACTTTTGGTTAAAAGTAATATTTTAAGAATGTGGGCTGATAGAAATGTTGAGGTGGAAAGGGTGATTGGATAGATGAAAGGTAACAAAGTTCCTGGGTTAGTTTCAAGTGCCAAATTTTTCAGAAAATAATTTAGGATATAATGATGAGACCTCAAAGTATTTATGTAAAGACTGTTACAATGTTATGTACATTACTATAATTTCAGAAGTAAAGTACAGCCTCTCCTCACTTAGCGACGTACTCTTTTACCGACGCCTTGGACTTACGTCGGGCTCTCTGACCAGTATTCTTACCTAAATAATGTACATTAGAGCTGATTTCCTCTGTTCTGTTTATTTCAATATACAGTACACTGCTGTATAAGCATTTAAAAATATACCAGAAATTTTATAAATAGTGCAAAGGTGACATTAAAACAATATCAGAGATGGTTGACACAAGCTCTCTACCATTATAGTATGCTCCTCACTTAGTGATGAATTCATTTAACGATGTAGTCTCAGGAATAGAACTCCATCGTTAAGTGAGGAGAAGCTGTATTTAATTTATTGATACATTGCTGCAGGTTAATTTTTGTTACCTTTAATATAGCTTTTAACTTGTATGCCCTTCTTACAGGTAAAGAAAGTAAAGGGAAAGAAGGAAGATTTAGATGAGGTAGGTGGTACAGCAGTACAGGAAGTGGAGGTTGAATCTGAACCTCTGCCAGAGCCCACTCCACCACAACCAGCAGAACCTGAGCCCTCACCCCAACCCATCCAGGTAGGGTTCATTGCCACTGCCTCTTTCAACTTCCGTATAAATATCAGTAAAGAAATGTGAAATTTGTTTATGGCCATTTAGTTTCCATTTTGGCTTCATGCAAGATGCTTAAATAAAAAAACAAATGTGTGTATATATATACAGTGGAACCTCAAATACTGAACTGCTCCCAACTCAACCAGTTATGTAAGTGTATTTTCGTAAGTGCTTTTATAAGTGTATTTTTTGAGTCTGAAATGAACTAATCTAATTTACATTATTCCTGATGGGAATAAATTCGTTCGGTAACGGCACTCAAACAGCTGTCTGGAATGAAGAAAGTTTGATATTTGAGGTTCCACTGTATATACATGATTTCCTTCAAAATTTATTGTTTTTATGTACATTGGTACCTCGGTGTACGTCTGCTTTGGGACAAGTCCAACTTGGTATATGTCCTGTTTGGATGTGAAAATTTTTGCTTGGTATATGACCTTTGTTTGGAATACGACTCGTGTGCTAGAATTTATATGGGTCAAAATGAGTCACGACACCGCTCGCTACCCTTGTTTACCCCTCTCTCGGGACAAAGCCATGACTGCCCATTAGCGTCAGTACGCCCATTGCTACCATTCAGTGAACAACCCGCACTGTAACTCTGTGAATTTTCACATGATTTTGTGTTGTTTTTTCATTTAAATTTTGTTGAAAAGGATAGATTTTTTAGTAAAAGTCAAACCTGGTGAGCTTCAGCCAGGTCCAAATAAGGAAAGAGACAGAAAAGAGAAGGGGGACTCCCCTTCCAAACAATAACATTTCCTCCTCCCTTCTCAGCACTATCCTAGTAGACACTTAACTTTTCAGCAAAGTAAAGTGAGGTTAAATTTGCAATTATTTCTTCTAATTCTTTTGTATTTATATATGTGTTTTAATATTAAGCAGTGTTTAAATTACATATTTTAGTATTAAGCAGTGTTTAAATTATTTTACATTTTTTTTTTTTTCAACAAGTCGGTCGTCTCCCACCGAGGCAGGGTGACCCAAAAAAGAAAGAAAATCCCCAAAAAGAAAATACTTTCATCATCATTCAACACTTTCACCACACTCACACATTATCACTGCTTTTGCAGAGGTGCTCAGAATACAATAGTTTAGAAGCATATACGTATAAAGATACACAACATATCCCTCCAAACTGCCAATATCCCAAACCCCTCCTTTAAAGTGCAGGCATTGTACTTCCCATTTCCAGGACTCAAGTCCGACTATATGAAAATAACCGGTTTCCCTGAATCCCTTCACTAAATATTACCCTGCTCACACATCCAACAGATCGTCAGGTCCCAAGTATCATTCGTCTCCATTCACTCCTATCTAACACGCTCATGCACGCTTGCTGGAAGTCCAAGCCCCTTGCCCACAAAACCTTCTTTACCCCCTCTTTCCAACCCTTTCGAGGACGACCCCTATCCCTCTTTCCTTCCCCTATAGATTTATATGCTTTCCATGTCATTCTACTTTGATCCATTCTCTCTAAATGACCAAACCACCTCAACCCCTTTTCTGCCCTCTGACTAATGCTTTTATTAACTCCACACCTTCTCCTAATTTCCACACTCCGAATTTTCTGCATAATATTTACACCACACATTGCCCTTAGACAGGACATCTCCACTGCCTCCAACCGTCTCCTCGCTGCTGCATTTACCACCCAAGCTTCACATCCATATAAGAGTGTTGGTACTACTATACTTTCATACATTCCCTTCTTTGCCTCCATAGATAACATTTTTTGACTCCACATATACCTCAACGCACCACTCACCTTTTTTCCCTCATCAATTCTATGATTAACCTCATCCTTCAAAAATCCATCTGCCGACACGTCAACTCCCAAGTATCTGAAAACATTCACTTCTTCCATACTCCTCCTCCCCAATTTGATATCCAATTTTTCTTTATCTAAATCATTTGATACCCTCATCACCTTACTCTTTTCTATGTTCACTTTCAACTTTCTACCTTTACACACATTCTCAAACTCATCCACTAACCTTTGCAATTTTTCTTTAGAATCTCCCATAAGCACAGTATCATCAGCAAAAAGTAACTGTGTCAATTCCCATTTTGAATTTGATTCCCCATAATTTAATCCCACCCCTCTCCCGAACACCCTAGCATTTACTTCTTTTACAACCCCATCTATAAATATATTAAACAACCATGGTGACATTATACATCCCTGTCTAAGACCTACTTTTACTGGGAAGTATTCTCCCTCTCTTCTACACACCCTAACCTGAGCCTCACTATCCTCATAAAAGCTCTTTACAGCATTTAGTAACTTACCACCTATTCCATATACTTGCAACATCTGCCACATTGCTCCTCTATCCACTCTATCATATGCCTTTTCTAAATCCATAAATGTAATAAAAACTTCCCTACCTTTATCTAAATACTGTTCACATATATGCTTCAATGTAAACACTTGATCTACACATCCCCTACCCACTCTGAAGCCTCCTTGCTCATCCGCAATTCTACATTCTGTCTTACCTCTAATTCTTTCAATTATAACTCTACCGTATACTTTTCCTGGTCTTCTTTCTTTCAACACGCCGGCCGTATCCCACCGAGGCGGGGTGGCCCAAAAGGAAAAACGAAAGTTTCTCCTTTTACATTTAGTAATATATACAGGAGAAGAGGTTACTAGCCCCTTGCTCCCGGCATTTTAGTCGCCTCTTACAACACGCATGGCTTACGGAGGAAGAATTCTGTTCCACTTCCCCATGGAGATAAGAGGAAATAAACAAGAATAAGAACTAGAAAGAAAATAGAAGAAAACCCAGAGGGGTATGTATATATGTGCTTGTACATGTATGTGTAGTGTGACCTAAGTGTAAGTAGAAGTAGCAAGACGTACCTGAAATCTTGCATGTTCATGAGACAGAAAAAAGGACACCAGCAATCCTACCATCATGTAAAACAATTACAGGCTTTCGTTTTACACTCACTTGGCAGGACGGTAGTACCTCCCTGGGCGGTTGCTGTCTACCAACCTACTACCTATAACTTTTCCTGGTATACTCAGTAAACTTATTCCTCTATAATTTTTACAATCTCTTTTGTCCCCTTTCCCTTTATATAAAGGGACTATACATGCTCTCCGCCAATCCCTAGGTACCTTCCCCTCTTTCATACATTTATTAAACAAAAGTACCAACCACTCCAACACTATATCCCCCCCTGCTTTTAACATTTCTGTCATGATCCCATCAGTTCCAGCTGCTTTACCCCCTTTCATTCTATGTAATGCCTCGCGTACCTCCACCACACTTACATTCTGCTCTTCTTCACTCCTAAAAGATGGTATACCTCCCTGGCCAGTGCATGAAATTACCACCTCCCTTTCTTCCTCAACATTTAAAAGTTCCTCAAAATATTCTTGCCATCTACCTAATACCTCCCTCTCCCCATCTACTAACTCCCCTACTCTGTTTTTAACTGACAAATCCATACTTTCCCTAGGCTTTCTTATTTTGCATAACCCCATCAATGTATAATATGCCAATAACAATAGGATTTTTTTTTTCATGGAAACACATTAATTGTTTTACATATATTTCTTCTGGGAAAATTTGTTTGGTATACGTCCTGTTTGGTACAAGTCCAAGGTCTTGGAACAGAGGAAGGACATATTCCGAGGTACCACTGTATATATTTTTAACTGGTGCCTAAATCTCTTCTTTATGAATATCAGTATACCATTTGCAAGATTAAAGCAATGTTAAAAAAAAATGGTCTCTGAAGCAACCCAAATAATTATTTTTATATATAGTCATCATTTACTTTTTTCACTTTGATGGTGATATTTCCTTTGTTAAGAAGTGACTGAAAAAATGAGGCTAATTTCTACAACAAACTGACTTATATGTTTGTGAAGCTGTCAGTGTTATCTTTATGGGAAGTAAATTATACAGTAATTGTGATGCCATATACTGTTATAGCAGGTTATATAAAATATTGGTTAATTTGCAGGAGAAGAAGAAAGAAAAGAAAAAGAAAAAAGAAAAAGAGAGAGATGTGGAAGAGGCACCCCAGAAGATAGTGGAAGAGGTTCAGGAAATTATAACAATGAAGACAGAATCTGTGAAGGCTGAGGCTGCTCCCGAACCTACACCATCACTCCCTGTAAAGTTGGAGGTGAAAGAAGTGAAGGAAGAGAAGAACATTAAGGAAGTAAAGGAAGCGGTAAGTTATTAGGTTTTGGAATAATATTCGGTGTTTATTTTTTTGTGGAAAGTGAATAGGTCTGTTGTTTAGTATTAACTCAAAATTTTGAGAAAATTTAGATGGTTTCAATTCATACTGGACCATTATCAGGTTAAAACTGGATGCAAGCATGCAGTACGAATGTGTGATAGGTGTTCTGATGGTAAATCATGTTATTATCTATTTGTTGCTATAGGAACAGAAGCACATCTCTAATGCCCCATCATTAATTGGTTCATCACATAATTTATAAAAAGTTTAACAGATTTTTAATTCCATTCTTCCACCATTTGTAAATAAAATTTCCCAGCATCCTTTCAGCTCTGTATTTTCTTAATTTACATATATCGCCTCTTGTTATTCCTTTTGAAGGTGCTGGACTATTAAAACTTTATTTTTTCATATCTTTTATAACCTTATAAGCTATCATCTCTTGTTTTTCCTCCCATCAGCCATCAGCTTTTTCATAACTTTTTTTTTTTTCAGCTGTTGTTCATTTTGTAGCTCTTCTTTAGACATATTCTGTGTGACTGACATATTTTTGAGTGGATACCATGTAGCAGCAGCTGCAGATTCCAGTTTTGCTGATATTAAAAGGGAGGTTAAAAAAGAGATAAAGGCTGAAAAAGACTGCAAGTATGTATATAGAACTAGAGAGAATTTAGGTACACTTACAAGTATGAACAGCTTACTGACAATAAGAAAGAAATGGGCTATGTTTTTAACCATTATTTCTTATCGGTCTTAGCCCAAGAGGACAAACAATATCCCATTAATTAATTGGTAATCAAACAGGTTGACTGATTAAAGGAAAATGTCCCCAGTCCCCAATAAACTTTTTTCAAAGGTTCTTAGTGTAAAATATTAATAGTGAAATATTGACTAACCTTTTTAATGTATATCTTCAGACAGGTGTAATCTGTTTCTTACTTTCATGCATTCATGTTTGCAGTTTGCTAAATTTGAGAGGTTGGAATGTTATGGGATACTAGTTAATATTATATAATGAATTTTAAAGGTTGAGGCACCTGTGATTGCTGTACAAGTGGATGTTACAGAGGCTGTTGATGCTCCAATGGCTCCTGTCAAGAAACCTACATCACCCCAGGAAAAGAAGAAGAAAAAAGAGAAGCAGAAGAATGATGTTACGAGTAAGTTATGCTTGATTTACATGAGGGGATTGTATGTGTTGTGAGAGTAGGAAAGGGGTAAACAAGACCTTATTAAGATGTATCAATATATAGAAAAGTAGAGTATGAGTATAAAGGGCATGTTGGGTTGATTAAATAAGATAGATTTTTAAAATGTGGACTTAAAGACACGAGAAAATGTTAGTGTTCCCAAGAGTACAAGCAGCGGATGTGGTAATGGAATTTTGCCAAGAGGGAATTTTAAGTTTCTTCCATTAAAAGGATTTTGTAAGGAAAGATGTAACAATGAATTAAAGTACAGGATTTACTTGTCAGATTGTTAATGTTGCAGTGATTTAAAGTTTGGTTCCAGTAATGTACAGGAGTGTACTACTATATAGTGAGAATATAAACGAGATGAGGAAGCAAAGGGCTAGTAACCCCTTCTGTATAATTTACTAAATTTAAAATTATGTCATCCTACCTTGGTGGGATATAGCAGGTTCATTGAAAAAAAAAAAGTGAGATGAGACTTTGTGTTTGATTAAACTCATTTTGTATAGAAAGAGAAATGATGCAGATTTGAAACTAATGGTAATGAGAAAAGGAAAGACTGATGATGAAAATATTGGAATAATGTACGTAATTGGAAATAAAGCCACAATTATATGAGAAGGTAAAAAATTATAAGTTATGAAACAAATACTGTTGTATAGTGCTTTAGCAAATAATGGAATATGCAGGCAGTTTGAACAGTTAAATGCATCAAAGATTTAGTATTCTTGGTTGAGTTTGAACTGCCTTTTTGCTCTCTCTGCCACATACTGTTTGGTGGGATACATCACTATCTGCTATGTTGGCTTATTTGTGCTTTCCACTCGTATCATGATGTAGTTGTAATTTTTTTTCCTCTCCAGTTGTGATACCTACTGTACATGAGTTTACAGGGGATAAACTCCAGCTCTTGATCCTGCCTCCAAATTTTTTATTGTTTTATATGATTCAGCCCTATTTGTTTTTAAATCCCTCTTGAGTCTGCCTCTACAATCATTGCTCACCACCTCCCTGTTCTTTACCACTCGTATATTGAAAAAAGTGCTTCGTTATATCCCGCTCATTTGGATGTATGTTTTCTAGACATGCTGCCTTGTTATTGTCGAGTTTCTAGTAGAGACCTTATTCTTGTTTGTCCTGTGTCAGACCTGTTGTCTTGGTCCTCCTCTCTTGTCTGTGTGTGTGTATACATTCTGTGAATGTAAAATATCTTCTGTTTCATTTTTTTCAGCACTGAATATATTTAAGTCAATTGCAGGAATTAGTCTGATGGCAAATCTCTGCCCCTTCTCTAGTTATCCTGTGTGTGATGTGGATTCCTCGTTGGTGCTGCACACTATAAGGTGTCCTGTAGCTCGATTGCTAGTGCACTCAGCTCTCGCACTGTGGTCTGGGGGTTGATCCCCAGTACAGTTGTAAGCTTTAGGATGCATTTCCTTAAGACACCTGCTGTCCATGTTCAGCTATCAGTAAAATAGGTACCTGGATGTTAGTTGACTGGTGTGGGTTGCATCTAGGGACAAAATTGACTTAGTTTGCCCAAAAGTAACAAGGGACTCTCTATATAGTAATATGTCATTGATGTCATCTAGGCCTGTATACCTTGTACTTGTAGAAATAGATTATTGTAATAAAGGCTTCACAAATGGTGTCCACAAAGTCATTTAAAAGTTTAAAAAAAAAATGATTACAAAATGGTAAAAGATGTGATTCTTCAAGACCTTGGTGCTCATCGCCTATTCCTAGGCTGAGGGACTGATTACCTCACCTTTTGTATATACTATTACAGTCTTCACTTAATGTCCTTGTATTGATAAAGCCATGGTTTGGCAAAATGTGTACAGAGACTTAGATGTTGCAAATGTTTCTAATTCATCAGACGATAATATAAATGCAGTTATTTGTGTATGATGGTGTAATTATCATGACATCGTGTTCCTGGCAGATGGATTGAGTGTGATGGCCCCCATCATATAGCTTCCACACACCCCAGATATATTGCCTGCATGAAGACTGTTCTTTTTGTTAGGTCTTTGTGAAGTATTGTTTTTACAGATACAAGTAGTTGACATTAAAATACCATTCAAGAACAAATGATGACTGGAAGAGTCATGCCAGATATGTTGACCAATACATGGGATTAAGTGAGGTATTGATTAGGTGTATTAGGGCCACTAGCAGTGCAAATTTTGAGATTGTATAGATTGGACAACCCTGAAGCTGTATAAAAACTTTTAGTTCAACTGTCATATGTGCAGAAACCTGCATATTTAATTGCTGTATTACCATTTTGGAAGGAAAGAAACACTTTCACCATCATTCACACAATCAGTCTTTGCAGAGGCATGCAGATATGACAGTTGAGATGTCACTCCAAACAGCATATATCCCAAACCCCTCCTTTAAGGTGTAGGCATTGTACTTCCCACCTCCAAGACTCGAGTCTGGCTAATCGGTTTCCCTGAATTCGTTCACAAAATATTACCATGCTCACACTCCACACTTCTCCCATATAGCTTACTTAAAATAGAAAGAAATTTACTGAACTATTGCAGATTATTTCCAGTTGAGTACAGCCTTTTTAATGGTCTGTTGCTATTTTCCATATAAAATTTGCTTCAACTGCAAAAATCAACAGGTAGGATTCGTTCTCTTCAGGTAGGTTGTTGACTCGACTAATCGTGTTGTTCAGAGGACTGAACCGTGAGCAAATCCACTTATCTCCTAAGATTTCTTCTTCCTTCTATTTGTGATACACTGTTGTTTGTTACCAGGCACTTGTGTATCCCAGGGGTTACTCCATTATTCAATCTTGTACTTCATATTGCAGATTAGTCACTTGTTGCACAACATTTGAAGCCTTGACAGTCTGAATTTTTCTCATGTATTTCTATTAGTCTGTTAGAAATCTTAATTGTTTTGGGAGGTATGACTTTGTTTTCTGAACATATGCTATTGGTTTGATGAATGCATTTTCCAAGTGGTTTAATGCTCTTCTTTTTACACTATACATGCCTGGGGTACTGGTTTGTAATTTAGGTTTTCCTACTTATCCCCTCCTTTGATTATTGGTACAGTAAAAATTTGCTGTTTTCCAGCTGTCTGGTATCTCTCCTGTCTCCAGTGACTTGTTGTAGATCCTCCTCATTGGCTTGCTCAGGCCATCAGCCCCTTCCCTCCCTCAGTGTCCAAGGTGAGCTGTTCTTCAGTCCCTTTGCTTTTCTCCACATCCAGTTCCTTGCAAGTTTCTGTATCTCTTGGCACAATTATTTTCTCCATTATTCCTTAGGGATTTTTCACCCTTTGCTAGGTTTGGTAGAATCTGCTGGAATATTTTAAAGTTTCTTGTTTACTGCCTTATCCACGAGGCATTTCTTGTTTTATTTAAATCTGATCATTTTCTAATTCAGATATGTTTATGGCTGTGAAATAATTTTAGCAGGTCCTTGACTTTGACATTTATCACTTCATAATGCTGCTACATTGCTGCTCTCTCAATTCTGGTTTTTCTGATCAGTTTTGATTCTTTCAAATGTTCTTTTTGTGGTGCATTCCTTCATGCTTTCTTATACCTAGATTTTGTTTAAATGAATTACCTGGTATGTTAAACTAAGAACTGCAGAGGTTTTTATTTCTTTTGTTGTAAGGTAGAGAGTGAATGAGAGACCTTAGCATACTTGTATAACTCTCCTCCTTTTCTCTATTCTTTGCTTATATAAAAGAAAACTTTGAAGAAAATTGCTTGTGTGATCAGTTAGCTTGGTTTCAATAATTCCTGAATGATTTGTATATTTCTCTTAGTTACAGTCCTCTTTCTTTACTGTCAAGATTTTTTTTTTTTTTTTTTTTTTTTTTTTTTAACACATTGGTAGTCTCCCACCGAGGCAGGAATTATGTCAAGAATTATTTTTTTTTTTATATTATTGGGTCCAATTCTTTCTGTAAATTTATTACTGTATATCTCTTGTAACCTTATTTGCCTTGCCTGTTATTTCTTCCTTTTCTTTTTTCCCATTTCATATACATTATATATTTTTTAATACTTCATTCAGTCTGGTTGATTCACCCAGTACCAAGATTACTGAAAGCATGCTTACCTCTCTGATGGTTATTTCTGAAGAACTAACTGCTGAAGTTATAACTGGCAGTTGCTAGCAGCTATAACTTCATTGCCCTGTCTTTGTGAGTCTCAGTTCCTTACATATATAAATCTTCATCAGCTCTGTATATTTAGTATGTTTTACAGGTGCTTTTTGACTGTTGATGCTTGTGATGATTAAATACTAATTACATACTGGTAGCAATTACCTATTAGCTACAGATGCAGAGCTGTGCTTGTGGTGTCCTCCCATCTTTAGTATTTTATTCATCATAACTTAGTAAAATTTCCAGTGGTTGTAGCACTTATCTCCGAAATCATTGAAGTCATCGTCTTACCTACACTTAAATGCTGTGGTTACCTTCACTTTCGTTGTGTTTTCTTTTTTAGTTTTACCCTTTTTCTAATGATCTCAGTGAAGAGCACTTCACTATTACTGTCAGCTCTCCATTCCTGGACTCCTTATCCTTCACAAAATTCTTGCAAGTCCTTGTGCTCCTTCTCAAGTGTCTGTGTGTTGTGTGAGATGAGAATAAGGGTAAGTTGTAAGGCAGTAAGGGTTGGTAAACATTTAAAAAGACTTTTCACAGGAAATTTTGTAGTACTTGTATAATACAATATATTACTGAATAGCAGAATTCTTCCTCCGTAAGCCATGCGTATTGTAAGAGGCGGCTAAAATGCCGGGAGCATGGGGCTAGTAACCCCTTCTGTACAAATTACTGAATTTAAAAAGAAAAACTTCATTTTTCTTTTTGGGTCACCCTGCCTTGGTGGGATATGGCCGGTTTGGTAAAAAAAAAAAAAAATACTGAATAGAATAAATTTAAAAAAATTTTGTTAGAGGTAAGGAATATATAACATTTTGGTTAAAATTGTCAAGAATTTGCTTGCTTTTGTCAGTTTTTTTTTTTATGTTCTCAGCAAAGTTTTACTTTACAGCCTTGAGTGAATCCAAGCTCCTCCCAATGGTGCAACGAGCTCCATTGTCTGGTACAGAGATTCAAACCTTGATTGATGTTTTACTCAACAAGCAGCAGCAGAATAGCGCTGGAGGTGACTGGGTAAAGAAGGGCAAAGTGGATCCAATCACACAGCTTAAACGACAGTTGGAAGAATTAGAAAACCGCTTGCGTGATAAAGATGAGGCTCATTCTGCTCTCACAGCCAAGATTACCGACTTGTGCTCAGACCTGCACGGAGAGCGATCAAAATCTTCAAAACTCAAAGTTCAGCTGGATGAATCTGCTGCTAATCACACCCGTCAGCAGGAGGCAGCAGCTGCTAGTGCCCAGGCAGCACAAGCAGCACGTTTGAATGAACTCCGTACAGCCTTAGAGCAAGAATACCAGGCAAAGCTCCAACAGCAACAGCAGCTTGTGGAGCAGCTGCAAAGTGCCAGCAATGAAAGTGAAGTGACTGCTTTACGTGCCTCACTTAGCGATGCTGAAATTCAGACAAAAATGCTTAGACAGGAACATGAAGAACTAACTCAAAGATGCCAACAGTATGAGGAGCACATAAGTACTCTTGAAGAAAAAAGAGCTGCAGAAGAAGCTGCCAGAAGTGCTCAGTTATCAGAGTTGCAAGCACAGTTACAAAGTGCTGATGCAGCTCGGGCTCAAGCTCTGTCAGAGATTGCAGCCATGGATGCAGAAAGAAATGCTTTGAATGGGCAGCTAGCTAGCGATAATGCCAAGTATGCACAATTACAGCACAAACTACAGGTTAGATCTTAATTTTTTTTGGTTTTCAAAAATAGTTCATAGGTCCTATTGCAGTTTTTGTGATGTACTTGTGTGGGTGTAGATAGCATTATACACTTAATATTTTAACTGCTCAGTAGCCTTTTTTTTTTTTTTTTTTTTTTTTTTTTTTTTTTTTTTTTTTTTTTTTTTTTTTTAAGTTTACCTGAATGATTGGTTTTTATATCTAGATGATGATAAACTACTTCCATTTATTTTTATATTAACCCTTTTATCTGTCAGTGTTGATCTACGCATCCCTGCTAGTACTCCGAATATTTAAAAAAAAAAAATCTGTAAAAGAACAGGTTAATTTTCTAATTGTTCTAATAAAAATAATATAGGGTCAGTACTTACTGAGATATGAGGTGACAGTTGGCACTGCATGTTCACATGATGATAATATGGAGTCCTCCCACTTGCAGAAGTCTCTGATAACTTGTTTTTTTTCTTGTTTTTTGTTTTTTTTTTACCCCTCAGGGAAGGTTCCTTGATGTTGGTGAGGGGCTCTTGATTTAGGGAATTGGATCTGTGCTCCAGTTCCTCGAATTAAGCCTGAATGCCTTCCACATCCCCCCCAGGCGCTGTATAATCCTACGGGTTTAGCGCTTCCCCTTGATTATAATAATAATTTGTTTTTTTAATTTACTTAGTTTTTCTGTTCTGATATTTACACCCTCCTCGGTGGGAGATGGGCACTGTGTTTAAAAAAAAAAAAAAAAAAAAAGAAAGTTGAGAGTAGATCTTGTGATTTTCACAGGTACTTGGCTTTGGGTTTTCGAGGTTCTTGGCATTTCCTTGATCACTTGCTGCCACAAAACTGTGGGTCAACATCACTTTCCTTGAAAAGGAGTGTGTTAATACAACGGGGTGTAAGTGACTCCCTAGGGTTTGCCATGATGCTTGCTCTGTCTGTTGTTCAAATGAACTGGGGTTTCCATGAGGTAATACAGGGTCCCAGATTTTTTTAATATGGCACACACTGTGTATGCAACTTCATTCCCTATTGTCTAAGCTTATCAGGCTTCTGGTGCCAAATTTACATGCAGGAAAAATAGTGCATTGATCTATATGTGGAGCGGTAGTGGAGATGTGTAGATCAATGCTGTGACAGTTAAAAGGTTAAAGGTAAACAGAAATGATATTTCAGATATTTTTGTATTTTTTATGAAGATTTTTGACAGTGGAGTTGAGTGAGTGCTCAGTTCTATTTGTGGTGGTGGTGGTAGTAGTAATAGTAATGATAATAGTAGTAGTAAGCAAGTAGCAATTCCTCAGTCTGTATATTTTCCAACAAGATCTAACAGTGTTAGTAACGTAGGACTCTGGATATACAGTATACATTTATGTCGGTGATTATTACTAATTTGAATTTTTATCATTTTTTTGGGTGGAGGGCACTACTATTCTGTAAGTTTTATGAAATGTTAAAATGTGCATCTGGTTCTTAATAAGAAGTAAGTGGCAATGATGGTGAAAGTTTTTCTTTTTCGGGCCACCCTGCCTTGGTGGGAATCGGCCAGTGTGATAGTGAGGCTCAGGTTAGGGTGTGTAGAAGAGAGGGAGAATACTTCCCAGTAAAAGTAGGTCTTAGACAGGGATGTGTAATGTCACCATGGTTGTTTAATATATTTATAGATGGGGTTGTAAAAGAAGTAAATGCTAGGGTGTTCGGGAGAGGGGTGGGATTAAATTATGGGGAATCAAATTCAAAATGGGAATTGACAGAGTTACTTTTTGCTGATGATACTGTGCTTATGGGAGATTCTAAAGAAAAATTGCAAAGGTTAGTGGATGAGTTTGAGAATGTGTGTAAAGGTAGAAAGTTGAAAGTGAACATAGAAAAGAGTAAGGTGATGAGGGTATCAAATGATTTAGATAAAGAAAAATTGGATATCAGATTGGGGAGGAGGAGTATGGAAGGAGTGAATGTTTTCAGATACTTGGGAGTTGACGTGTTGGCGGATGGATTTATGAAGGATGAGGTTAATCATAGAATTGATGAGGGAAAAAAGGTGAGTGGTGCGTTGAGGTATATGTGGAGTCAAAAAACGTTGTCTATGGAGGCAAAGAAGGGAATGTATGAAAGTATAGTAGTACCAACACTCTTATATGGATGTGAAGCTTGGGTGGTAAATGCAGCAGCGAGGAGACGGTTGGAGGCAGTGGAGATGTCCTGTCTAAGGGCAATGTGTGGTGTAAATATTATGCAGAAAATTCGGAGTGTGGAAATTAGGAGAAGGTGTGGAGTTAATAAAAGCATTAGTCAGAGGGCAGAAGAGGGGTTGTTAAGGTGGTTTGGTCATTTAGAGAGAATGGATCAAAGTAGAATGACATGGAAAGCATATAAATCTATAGGGGAAGGAAAGAGGGGTAGGGGTCGTCCTCGAAAGGGTTGGAAAGAGGGGGTAAAGGAGGTTTTGTGGGCGAGGGGCTTGGACTTCCAGCAAGCGTGCATGAGCGTGTTAGATAGGAGTGAATGGAGACGAATGATACTTGGGACCTGACGATCTGTTGGAGTGTGAGCAGGGTAATATTTAGTGAAGGGATTCAGGGAAACCGGTTATTTTCATATAGTCGGACTTGAGTCCTGGAAATGGGAAGTACAATGCCTGCACTTTAAAGGAGGGGTTTGGGATATTGGCAGTTTGGAGGGATATGTTGTGTATCTTTATACGTATATGCTTCTAAACTGTTGTATTCTGAGCACCTCTGCAAAAGCAGTGATAATGTGTGAGTTTGGTGAAAGTGTTGAATGATGATGAAAGTATTTTCTTTTTTGGGGATTTTCTTTCTTTTTCGGGTCACCCTGCCTCGGTGGGAGACGACCGACTTGTTGGGGGGGGGGGGGGAAAGTGGCAAGGTTTTAGTATCCTGGTTTCAATAAGAATGATACTAGTGGTTGATGGAGAAAATGAAAAGGTGCACAAAAGGCAAATGTGAAAGAAGCTCCAGTTCTTGTTCTCACTTTTGACCAATTTACATAACTGAACTCTGTCTTGTCTATTTTTGAACTCCTGTTTGGAGTGTGCTTTCACTGCCATTTGCTTTGTTTATTTCACTTTTAAACTTAAGTTAAAAATTTACTTCCTAATATCCATATCTGACTTAGATGTGTGATTAACAACCATCCCTGGTAAGAAGCCTCTGTCTACTTGGTGCAGTTCTGTATGACCCTTACCAGTTTCACTCCCAATTTGATTATATTTTTATTTATCTTTCTATGCTAAATTTAAAAAAAAAAAATTAAAGTTGAGATGTCTGAATGTGCATGGATGTAGTACAGATGATTTGAGTTGATTGTGAATTTCATGAATGAAAAGAAACTGGATGTCTTAGTTCTAAGTGAAACAAAGCTGAAGGTGATAGATTTTCAGAAGGGAGAAATGAATGGGATTAGGTCATTTAATTAGAGCTGAGGAAGGAGTAGTGGTAATGTTGATTTATCAGTTATAGAAGGAAAAGAGGGAATGTAAATGTATAATTTGGGATATTAGCAGTTTGGAGAGATATGTTGTGTATCTTTATACATATATGCTTCTAAACTGTTGTGTTCTGAGCACCTCTGCAAAAACAGTGATTATGTGTGAGTGAGGTGAAAGTGTTGAATGATGATGAAAGTATTTTTTTGGGGGGGATTTTCTTTCTTTTTGGGTCACCCTGCCTCGGTGGGAGACGGCCGACTTGTTGAAAAAAAAAAAATTATACAAATCAAGGATTATACAAATCAAATAGTGGGATGCAAAAGATGCTTATATTGTGTTTATGCACCAGGGAAGAGAGGAGAGAAAAGATTTTGGGAAATGTTAAATGAATGTTTAGGGAGTTTTGAACCAGCTAAGAAAGTAATTGTTGTTGGGGACCTAAATGCTAAAGTAGAAGAAACTGTTGTAGAGGGCATAGTAGGTAAGTTTGGGGTGCCAAGGATAAATGATAATGGGGGGCCTATAACCCCTTTACAATCACAACCTCCAAAATTAAAATGGCCGTGTCTACATGTTAAAAAATAATTCTTCTGAAATGGTAGAGAATAGCATCAGTAGTACAAAATTTGATGGAAAACTTGGAATTAAGTAAAGGCAAAGTTAATGGTCTGGGTGCAGTTTACATATTGGTACCTAGGTGAGCTCTAGTTCTCAGTCCTGCCTCTTAAGTTTTGAACCATGGATGCAGAATAGCTTATCAAACTTTTCATGGCTCTCTTCATCTTGTACTATTGTTCATTTCATTTATCACCTGCATTAATGAAACTGAAGTGATTGCTCTCTTGTTCTTGTTTAAATAGATTAAAATCTAGTCTGGGTAAACACAGAAGCACATTGGCAAGTGTTAAGGTGAAGGTTGCATTGCAAGGGAAAACTTGTTTGCATATTATATTCTGTGGGATATTAAAAAGTGGAATTAGTACTGTGCAGTAGTTTGCTTGTAGATTTTCTTGATGGGAGTATTATATTGTGCTTTGTTGTTGTCCTCCTTTTTTGCAGGAAACCTTACACGAGAAAGCTGAGGTAGATTCCAGACTGATTCAAGTGGAATCTGAACTTCGTAGTGTACGCCAAGTGGTCTTAGACCAAAATACTCGGGTAAGTTTGAAAGTCATTTCGACTTTTGAGCATTTTGAGGTTTAAAGAATTTTATGGTATCTTAATATTTTACCAAAGCTCTCTCTGTATGACTTAGATTTTTGTACTACAGTACCATTTATACTGTTGACTTCTTTTAGTTTTAAATTGTGAGATAAAATTAACACCATCTGGCACCTCATTGCTCATTACCACTTCTGTCCAAACTTATATCTCGTATTTCCCCAGAAAGCTGCAACTTGAATCATGTTGCCTTATGTGGCAAGTGTCACAAGTATGGCTGTTTTGAATGTCAAATGGCTGTTGTACTCTACTGTATTTGAACGTAAATTTAAGGATAAATACTCTCCTGAACTTTTAGTTCCTTTACCCTCGTCCCCTTGCCCTGTATGTATTAAGTACCTTGTTAAAACTGCTCACATAGCATTTTCATTTCTTGGAACTGACTGAACGTTTGAGAAGGTATACTTATTCAGTCAATTATTAGAGGTATAAGTCCTTGCTCTTAGTCAAAAGGATGTGTATAGTGTGGTAACAACTAGTTATTAAATTCTGTGAAGGCTTACTCAGCCCTGTAACAACTTCACACAGTATTACCAGGGCTGGCTGCTCCTCGGGAAAATGTGTGGTGTAAATATTATGCAGAAAATTCGGAGTGTGGAAATTAGGAGAAGGTGTGGAGTTAATAAAAGCATTAGTCAGAGGGCAGAAGAGGGGTTGTTGAGGTGGTTTGGTCATTTAGAGAGAATGGATCAAAGTAGAATGACATGGAAAGCATATAAATCTATAGGGGAAGGAAAGAGGGGTAGGGGTCGTCCTCGAAAGGGTTGGAAAGAGGGGGTAAAGGAGGTTTTGTGGGCGAGGGGCTTGGACTTCCAGCAAGCGTGCATGAGCGTGTTAGATAGGAGTGAATGGAGACGAATGATACTTGGGACCTGACGATCTGTTGGAGTGTGAGCAGGGTAATATTTAGTGAAGGGATTTAGGGAAACCGGTTATTTTCATATAGTCGGACTTGAGTCCTGGAAATGGGAAGTACAATGCCTGCACTTTAAAGGAGGGGTTTGGGATATTGGCAGTTTGGAGGGATATGTTGTATCTTTATACGTATATATGCGTGAGCGTGTTTGATAGGAGTGAATGGAGACAAATGGTTTTTAATACTTGACGTGCTGTTGGAGTGTGAGCAAAGTAACATTTATGAAGGGATTCAGGGAAACCGGCAGGCCGGACTTGAGTCCTGGAGATGGGAAGTACAGTGCCTGCACTCTGAAGGAGGGGTGTTAATGTTGCAGTTTAAAAACTGTAGTGTAAAGCACCCTTCTGGCAAGACAGTGATGGAGTGAATGATGGTGAAAGTTTTTCTTTTTTGGGCCACCCTGCCTTGGTGGGAATCGGCCGGTGTGATAATAATAAAAAAATAATAATGCTTCTAAACTGTTGTATTCTGAGCACCTCTGCAAAAGCAGTGATAATGTGTGAGTGTGGTGAAAGTGTTGAATGATGATGAAAGTATTTTCTTTTTGGGGATTTTCTTTCTTTTTTGGGTCACCCTGCCTCGGTGGGAGACGACCGACTTGTTGAAAAAAAAAAAAAAATTATTATTTAGTAATGCAAAGATAAAACATTGAAACATGAAGGTGTATCCTACTTGAAAGAAAAATGAAATGAAAAATTTCCATTTGACTTCAACGCTAATTTTTTTTTTTTTTTCCTCAACAAGTCGGTCGTCTCCCACCGAGGCAGGGTGACCCAAAAAACAAAGAAAATCCCCAAAAAGAAAATACTTTCATCATCATTCAACACTTTCACCACATTCACACATTATCACTGCTTTTGCAGAGGTGCTCAGAATACAACAGTTTAGAAGCATATACGTATAAAGATACACAACATATCCCTCCAAACTGCCAATATCCCAAACCCCTCCTTTAAAGTGCAGGCATTGTACTTCCCATTTCCAGGACTCAAGTCCGACTATATGAAAATAACCGGTTTCCCTGAATCCCTTCACTAAATATTACCCTGCTCACACTCCAACAGATCGTCAGGTCCCAAGTATCATTCGTCTCCATTCACTCCTATCTAACATGCTCATGCACGCTTGCTGGAAGTCCAAGCCCCTAGCCCACAAAACCTTCTTTACCCCCTCTTTCCAACCCTTTCGAGGACGACCCCTACCCCTCCTTCCTTTCCCTATAGATTTATATGCTTTCCATGTCATTCTACTTTGATCCATTCTCTCTAAATGACCAAACCACCTCAACAGCCCCTCTTCTGCCCTCTGACTAATGCTTTTATTAACTCCACACCTTCTCCTAATTTCCACACTCCGAATTTTCTGCATAATATTTACACCACACATTGCCCTTAAACAGGACATCTCCACTGCCTCCAACTGTCTCCTCGCTGCTGCATTTACCACCCAAGCTTCACATCCATATAAGAGTGTTGGTACTACTATACTTTCATACATTCGCTTCTTTGCCTCCATAGATAACGTTTTTTGACTCCAAATATACCTCAACGCACCACTCACCTTTTTTCCCTCATCAATTCTATGATTAACCTCATCCTTCATAAATCCATCCGCCGACACGTCAACTCCCAAGTATCTGAAAACATTCACTTCTTCCATACTCCTCCTCCCCAATTTGATATCCAATTTTTCTTTATCTAAATCATTTGATACCCTCATCACCTTACTCTTTTCTATGTTCACTTTCAACTTACTACCTTTACACACATTCTCAAACTCATCCACTAACCTTTGCAATTTTTCTTTAGAATCTCCTATAAGCACAGTATCATCAGCAAAAAGTAACTGTGTCAATTCCCATTTTGAATTTGATTCCCCATAATTTAATCCCACCCCTCTCCTGAACACCCTAGCATTTACTTCTTTTACAACCCCATCTATAAATATATTAAACAACCATGGTGACATTACACATCCCTGTCTAAGACCTACTTTTACCGGGAAGTATTCTCCCTCTCTTCTACACACCCTAACCTGAGCCTCGCTATCCTCATAAAAGCTCTTTACAGCATTTAGTAACTTACCACCTATTCCATATACTTGCAACATCTGCCACATTGCTCCTCTATCCACTCTATCATATGCCTTTTCTAAATCCATAAATGCAATAAAAACTTCCCTACCTTTATCTAAATACTGTTCACATATATGCTTCAATGTAAACACTTGATCTACACATCCCCTACCCACTCTGAAACCTTGCTCATCCGCAATCCTACTTTCTGTCTTACCTCTAAATCTTTCAATTATAACCCTACCATACACTTTTCCTGGTATACTCAGTAAACTTATTCCTCTATAATTTTTACAGTCTCTTATGTCCCCTTTCCCTTTATATAAAGGGACTATACATGCTCTCCGCCAATCCCTAGGTACCTTCCCCTCTTTCATACATTTATTAAACAAAAGTACCAACCACTCCAACACTATATCCCCCCCTGCTTTTAACATTTCTGTCATGATCCCATCAGTTCCAGCTGCTTTACCCCCTTTCATTTTGTGTAATGCCTCACGTACCTCCCCCACACTTACATTCTGCTCTTCTTCACTCCTAAAAGATGGTATACCTCCCTGACCAGTGCATGAAATTACTACCTCTGTTTCTTCCTTAACATTTAAAAGTTCCTCAAAATATTCTCGCCATCTACCTAATACCTCCCTCTCCCCATCTACTAACTCCCCTACTCTGTTTTTAACTGACAAATCCATACTTTCCCTAGGCTTTCTTAACTTGTTTAACTCACTCCCAAATTTTTTCTTATTTTCATTAAAATTTCTTGACAGTGCCTCTCCCACTCTATCATCTGCTCTCCTTTTGCACTCTCTCACCACTCTCTTTACCTTTCTTTTACTCTCCATATACTCTGCTCTTCTTATAACACTTCTGCTTTGTAAAAACCTCTCATAAGCTACCTTTTTCTCTTTTATCACACCCTTTACTTCATCATTCCACTAATCACTCCTCTTTCCTCCTGCCCCCACCCTCCTATAACCACAAACTTCTGCCCCACATTCTAATACTGCATTTTTAAAAGTATTCCAACCCTCTTCAACCCCCCCACTACTCATCTTTGCACTAGCCCACCTTTTTGCCAATAGTCGCTTATATCTTGCCCATTAATTCTGAGCACCAGTTGGAGTTTTTGTGGTTGTCTCTGGGCAGTGAATACCTTATTGGTTTTTAAGTTCAAAAGCTCACTGCTTGTGTTATTGATTTCTGAAATGAATAGCCAAGGGAGAAATAAAAGTTGATGATCTTCATGCATGAAATGGTTTATAAATTACAAATTATATTTTGCTACTTCATTTAGAACAATAGCTAGTAGGCTTTTAATGTCAGACATTTATAAGTTTGCATTCTTGTTAGATTGAACGGCTAAAGGAGGAAAAAGAGTCGTTAGCATCCCAGAGTGTCCGTCCAGCCGCTGAAGGGCAAGAAAATGGGGATGTACATGCGGAACAGACCCTGGCCTCTGACACCGCCCACCTAGTGTCATTGTAAGCCTCTGCTATTTTTTAATATGCCAAAAGCAGTCTTGAATGTCTTCTGGCATCTGAAATGTCTTGTCACAAAGAATGGGATTAGATGCTATTAACATAAAATGTTTATTGGGTTTATTAAGTAATTATCATTACAGAGTGAAGGAGAAAGAAATCCTAATAGAAGAACAGTTATCTGAAGTAGTAAACTTGAGAAAAGAAATTTCAAGATTAAAAGAAGATTTAGAGAGCCAAAGAGCGAAGAACAATGTGAGTATTATTTTTGTTTTACCTGGGCCAGCAGTGCTTTATCATACTACACCCAATATCTAGTTGATGCTTCCACAATTGGAACTTGCATGGTTGTAAATTAAGATGTAAGATTTTGTATTATTACTCCCTAATATTTTACTTGTTTTATGTATGGTTGTCTTCACTTTTTCTGATAAGCTTGGAAGTTCCACTAATAACTTTTAGATGTTTACTTCTGGCAAGTTGAATTGTGGTTACCAGTTCTTGTTGATTCTAATGGTGTACCTGATCTTGTAGACCTTGATTATTGGTAGTGTAATTCATTGTAAGTTTGATTCAAGAGGAACCACTTAACTGGTGACCCCCCCCCTTTTTTTTTTTAAATCAGTTTTATTAGATGATACTGTAATCCACCTCTTCTCATGCAGTTTATAAACCTATATCTAGTTGGCAGAATTAAATATCTGGCATGTTGCACCTTTGTTTTTTTTTAACTTTAATGAGAAATATGATTTGTGAAGAGCTTATGCACATCAATTATCTTCATTTCTTTCGGGTACTTGTTTGTCTAAGATAAGCTTGAGTCTATGCCCCTGTTTTGAGGGTGAAATAACAATAACCATGATTGATTTTTGCTTGGCTCACTTGTGGCTCTAAAGACATGTCCCGAGAGTAAGCTTAATACACTTGGTCACAATGTGGTTGTATGTAGAATTTCCCCTTTGCCTCTTAGTGTTGCTCCTATTGCCTGTGCCCCATGAGACTTAGTCGTCCATCAGCAGACCTAGGCCAGTACGCATGTCATGTATTACTGTGTGGGCTTTCTAGGGCACTGTATGATTGAAATCTGATGCAGCCTGGAATTGCTTTCACACCTGAGATTTAGCTTTGTGTGGCCACTCTGTATCCATTGATCTTATTGTTTACAAGAAGTTGTACTTACAATTCATGCACAGTATTTTTCAAATTTGATATATGAAATTGAGTTACCATAAGAGGATAACTAAATGAAATGCCTATACCCCAATATTTGTTAACAAGCTTGTTACTTAACCTCATGAGATCCAGTACTAGATTCCCTCAAGTCTAACAGTGTGTGTTGTTAATCCCTGCCTTGTAGGAGTTACGAGAAAAGAACCACAAAGTCCTGGAGGCCTTAACGAGCACAGAGGAAAAACTGATGGCTAGACTCAAGCAGGTGGATGTAAGTGCTGCTCTACTGTTAGTAAACAAAAAGCTTTGCAAGGTCTGATGAGCAGTAAGCTCCTTGTTTGAGATTACACAACCTCCAGGTTTTGAAGTAAAACAAAAATGTGAACTGTAGTGGATTAAATAACTTGGTAGCGTATTATAATAAACTAGCTTCTACGTGCTGGTCCTGCACGCTCAACAGTTGTCATGTTACCATGGTAAAGAAGAAATTTTAGTGGACAGTTGATATTATCTTGCCTCCAATGAACATATAGAGGGTGGACTAATGTTCTTGTGACTAGTGAGCAATAACATTTATAGTGGTCTTTCTGGGTTAGAAATAATATTGAAGTCTTTAGAAGTGAAGAATCATTGATTTATAGATTTAACTTGAAACTCTTCTTTGTACTCAGTAAGGTGCTTCAATTGAAATAAATTTTGAATAAAGTATGTTTTTGAACTAGCTGGTAGTTAATTAAAAGAGAAGTAGTACAAATGAATATTAGGTAAATGTATAGATTGGATTGACTCATGTTTTTAGTGTTCTGAATTAGTTGGAATTTAACATGAAACCTGAAGGTTGTTAATCTGTTAATTTGAGTGGATTTACCATTCTAGTTCTCTTGTTATTTGCTAATAGTGCTTTTCTTGTCCTTGGGACTTTTAGAATGCAGTACACAAGAGTTATTTAATTGAAAAGTGCTTGGCAATGTAGAATGTAGTGCGTGAGCACGATTACTTTTGAAGAATGGATTTTTTAGCACTTTTTCTTTTGTACTGTGGTAGACACATTTGTTGTGTAATATTCCTGTATAGGGTCTTAGACTTTCTAGTACAATTAAATTTTGTGTAAATATGAATTTTGTATGTGCAGAGGACATTAATAATTCAGACATGTTATGTTCCTGAGAAATGCGCTATCAGTTTCTGCAAATCATGAACTTCAAAATGGGGTTGAGTTCCTTGGACCACTAAAAAACCCAAACTGCTCTGTGAAATACCTGGGAATTCTAGTGAGGTTCAAACAGTTAAGACTTATTACATGTAGCTAAAATTTGGTTACATTATTACTGTATACTGTTGTATTTATTACTTCAAGTTGAGTTGGGGATGTATAACATCTTGAAGTCAATGGAGAGTGCAGCTGTGACCCTACTGAACTAACCTAGGTGTCCTGGAGGTCAGTACCCCCATGGCCCGGTCCAGGACCAGGCCTCACGGTGGATCAGGGCCTGATCAACCAGGCCTTTACTACTGGTCTCGCACGGTCCAGTGTACGTACCACAGTCCAGCTGATCAGGTACTGCCTTTAGGTATCTGTCCAGCTTCCTCTTGAAGACAGTCAGGGGTCTATTGGTAATACCCCTTATGTATGCTGGGAGGCAGTTGAGCAGTCACTGCATTCTCTTATTGTACTCATGATGCCCCTGCTTTTCATTGAGGGTATGTTTCACTGCCTGCCAAGACTGCAAATTTTGGAATAGTCCCTCTAGGATTTTCTAGGTGTAAATTATGACGCATCTTTCTCGCCTGCTTTCCAAGAAATACAGGCCAGTGGACTTCAAACAGTCCCAATAATTGAGGTGCTTAACTTTTACTTATATACAGTGATATTTCTCTGTATATTCTTCAGATCTGCAATTTCACCTGCCTATAAAGGGGCTGTTGGTGTACAGCAGTATTCTATCCTAAAGAGAAGTGACTTAAAGAGGATCATCATTGAAAGTTCTCAATGTCCATCCTATTATTTCTAACAGATGTGGTAATGACATTGTTGTGGTTTTTGAAAGCGAAATCCTCTGACATTATCACTCCCATGTCTTTCACTCTTTCACGTGAATTTTCTGCTCTGTTGTGTTAGAATTTGTTTTATACTCCGATTTAGCTTTTATTTTCTCAAGTTCTCCATGGCAGAGTAAATTTCATGTTGTTTTTTGTGGCCCATTGGAAGACTTGGTTTATATCCACTTGGAGATTTGCATTGTCCTTGATGGATGACTTGTGCAGATTTTAGTATCATCATTAAAGGAAGACAGTGCTATGGCTTACATCTGTCTCAGATATGAGAATGAGGAAAAAGACAGGGCTGGTAATGCACCTTGTGTTGCAGCTTTTCACTGTAGCCACTTCTGACTTAACTATTTACTATTACTCTGTGTTCTGTTGGTTAGAAAGTTAGATTCATCTAAACACTTTTCCAATTATTCCTTTGTCATGCATTTTGTGTGCTATTACACATGATCGCACTTGTCAAAGGCTTGCACAGTCTGTGTATACATATTACATCTGCATTCTGTTTGTCCTTCACGCATCTAAGACCATGTCGTAGTGGTCCAGTAGTTGAGAGGCAGGTGCAACCTGCTTTAAACTTGTGTTGCCCTTGGTTGTGCAATTGCTGGGTAATCAAGTGGTTGGGGATCTTGCTTTTTAGAACCCCTTTCACAGATTTTTATATGTGAAGTTAGTGCTATGAATCTATAATTCTTTGCTGTTGCTTTGTCACCTTTGTGGAGTAGGGCTATATCCACTGTTTTTAGTGACTGGGATGACCCACCAGGTCAAGGCTCCCTCTCCGTAGAATATTTAAGGCATGTGAAAGGGGTTTCTTCAAGTTCTTGATGAACACTTGAGTTCTACAAATCCGGGCATGGGGCAAAGTGCGTGGGCATGCTGTCAATTGCTTTGTCAAATTCCAGTGGTGTTAGGGTTATGTCAGCAGTGGAGAAATTTGACAAAATTTTGAGTTTTGGTCAAAGGTTGGGGATTTTGTGATGTTGATACAAGCCTCATCAGTTGATTGTTGCAGTGCAGTCCTCAGGTACTGTCATATGCAGTTTGTTTTTACCCTGCAGTTCTTTATACAGGAGATGTACTGCCTATTCCAGAGCACTTTACAGCAATACTTTGAGATGAGTCATGCTCCTTTTCAGTAAACGAGTCTGTAAGACTGGCAACAGTTTGCAGTGACTCTTGTATCTTTTGCAGTGTAAACACAGGTTATTCAGGCCTGGGTTCATCCACATTGTCTTCTATTCTTTGCATCTGGGAATTTAATTCCTGCAAAATTTCCTCTGCAGTTGGTTCCTCCTCACTGTCTTCCAAGAGCTCATTGTTGCCATTTTGCTGCATATCTTCAAATCACTTACCAGGCACTCTCCTTGTCATAACAAAGAGTTTCCTGAATCTTTCAACCGATGGAACACCTGTGAAATCATTCACCTCACATGGCCATATTGGTACATGAGCCAGTACTTTCTGTGCAGAGTGCATCTGCAGTGTTAAATTTTCAACTTAGCTCTGGCACTCCACTGTCTTATCGATTGCTGCCACTAGTTTCTGCATTACATTGCATGTGTAGTGGCACTTGAATACAGCTTCTCCACACTTAACAATGGCGTTCCATTCCCGAGATCATGTTGTTAAATTCGTCGCTGAGTGAGGAGCATGCAATAATGGTAGTGAGTTTGTGTCAACCATCTTTGATATTGTTTAATGTCACCTTTGGAATATTTTTATGTTTATACAGTAGTGTACTGTATATTGAAATAAACAGAATAGAGGACTCCAGCTCTAATATACATTATTTAGGTGTGAATACTGGTCAGAGAGCCCATTGTAAGTCCAATGCGTCGGTAAACAAGTATGTCACTAAGTAAGGAGAGGCTGTACTTCAATAAATCCTCGATCCAGTGGTTGCATCAATAATGTTGCATTTGGTGATAAAAGGAGTCTTAACCTCTGGCCCCATGTCCTTCAGGAGTTGAGGATGACTACAACAATGATCAAAGGCAAGGAAAACCATGAAAACAAGATTTTTCAGGTACAAGTACATCCTTACTTCAGGAATAAAGGATGCTTAATCCACTGAGAGGAGGAGGCCTCAGCCACCCATTCTGTGGCATTGGACCTCCATATAACAGGCCTACTGGCCCATTCTAGGCAGGCTTGTTGCTTAGTAATAAGACCTTCAAGTGAAACACCTTTCTTTTTCAATCCACACATTTAGTAAACCTTGTGTTATTGAACTCTAATGACCTGTTCCTCATTTTCCAACCATCACATTGAGGATTCCTTGTTGCACAAGCTTTAATCTTTGCCTCATTTTCTCAGATTGACTGAATCATTGATTCTCTAACAGCTTTTTATAACCTTATGGTAAACGTACAAAAAATGCAGTGCAATACATACCTATGGACACCACTAGCAAAATTCCACAACTTACTTTGACTAATAGGTGCATTTATTATGATTTTTTCACCTCTCAAGGGAGGTCTCTTGATGCGAATTCAGGGCTCATGATCAAAGGGATTGAACCTGATCTTCCCTTCCTCCAGGCACTTGAAACCCTGATAGGTTAAGCAATCCTATCATGACTGGTAGTAGTAATACTAATCTAGTGTCCCTAGTGTTGTTACTGTTCTGATGTCGGTGGCCCAATTTCTTGGCATTTGTCCTTAATCTCCTCGGCTCTTTACTTTGAAGTTACTTATCCATTATAATATAAACAAGGTTCAGTACAGAGGACCTACTGTTGTTAGAATAAAGTTTTCTTTCAGTGTGCTCCTTTCCTGTTAAATATTTAGTAGAGGTGGATGGCTCATTCACACTGTGATTACAGAAGTTCTGATGCATTCTCAGTCAGAAGTGTTGAGCATCAGTTGGCATGTGTGCATTTAGTCTGTACTTGAAATGTTCTATTCATTTTCTGTGAGGGGTATAAATACTATTAATTTGGTTTACTGGAGAACCAGTGGCACAAACTTGTCACCTTCCAATGTTTCTTGGTGTTTTTTACTTTGTAAATGTTACTTATAGGTACAATATGTACCTCTTAGTTATGTACAAAAATTCATAGTAAACAAATATAAATAATTCAGTGTAATGCTCATTGCTTGAACTAGTGGCGTGGAGGTCATGTGGTGCAGTGGCAGACATGAGCTAGTAAACTTAGGACTGCCAATCCATCAGTTAGTCTGAAGCACTCAACTGAATTGTTTTGCATAGTTTGTGCTGGTAAACTTGGTGCATAGGTAGCATTTATCACAAGACATTTAAATGGAAGTAATTTGTAATTGGTTAATGTATTAGTTGTTTCAATACCTACATAGTCTATTATTTGGGGTGTTAATTCATTTTATCATTGTTTTGATTCAGTTTTATCATAGTTTTAAGAAAGTCTTCTTTTTATGCTTTTAACTTTTCTGGATACATTATAATAAGATTTTTATTCCAGCTGCTAATTTCTAACATGATTGGAAGTAAGCATAGGTACAGAAGGTTAATTTGCTAGTGGTTATATTGAGGTGTTTAAAGTGTGCTCTTAGGATTATTGTAATACAATATGATCACAGCTGTTGCTTGTAGTGCTCTATCATTTATTGACATTAATGTAACGTATTTTCTGAAGGAGGCTTCTGGTGAAGTAGAGGAGGAGAAAGCAAAGGTTCGTGCCGTCCTTAGAAGAATTTTCCCCGAAGTTGTTGTAGATGATGCACTGGTGAGTACTTTTGCTTTTGTTGGGGGATGGGGGAGTAGGTGATATTACATGTTTGTGAGTGATTTTTGTATTTTATTTTTTGTACTTGACCTAATGGAGAAGGCAGAGGAGCTTTGATTCATTGTTGATGATTGAGAGATGGAGCACTGCATGTACCCTAAATGAACATTTTTTTTGTGTACTTTGATATTTTCTCTTTTTTGAAAGATAATTATTTTTGAAGATTGAATGCAGTAGTCAGATTACTTGTGAATGAGCTTTGGAGTTTATATTTTTTTACTTCCCTGTATTTGTTTTCCTTTATATAAAAATTTAAGGGTTTTAAATTTTTTACATGTATATATTGTACCCAAATTGTATGTACTGAAGTACTAGTAGATTTATGACTTTGAAGGAGAGGCAAGGGGATTAGAGATAAATCATACATAAACTATTTAAAAGTATAAGGGCAGGCTAAGTAGAAAGTAATTGTCCCAGTTTTTTTAATGACCTGCCTCTTTACTAACTCAGCAGCAGACGTTTTGTTCTGCATGTTCGTGGGTACAGTTTCCTTTGCAGTTTAATGATCAAAAAAGTGGTAATTTGAGTCAAATATTTTATCAATGAATGTGGAGGATCAGCACCTTCCTACAGCAGTTGTTCCCATTTCAGGCCCTTCCTGTTAGGAAAAAGACATACCAGGTAAACCATTTGTCAGTCATGCTGTCCTAAATTGCTCACATTTATCACTTGCTAAACTGAAGAACAAGGTTCCGGGGATCAAGTTTGGGTGACTTTCAAGAGTGGACTAAATTATATAAATGAAGTTTGTGAATTATCTTAATTGGCTACCATAAACATAATTAAAATGCAACAGCTGCTCTTGTCACCAATATATTATTATTATCATATCAGCATATGTATATACAGTAAGAGTTTTCCCTCAATCCCATTTATTCTGTTCTAGATTGTGAGTCCTCATCTTACTAGAGGTGGACACCCAGCTATATAATATCTTTTAGTCTCATGAATGCTTCTTATGCCATTTTAAAATTTTTGGATCTAGTTATCGATGAATTTACACCTGTAATTGTTGTGGACATGCTTTAATCCTTAAACTGGGTATGGTATGGGGTATAGTTGTGAACCCTTTCACTGGTATAGTAGAGGGGTAGTTGTAAACCTTTAATCCAGGTACATTATGGGTGGTGGTTTGGGGGCCTTTAAAATCTTCTTTGAGGTTCCTTGATGGCAGTGAGAGGCTGTTGATCCAAAGAATTGAACCACTCAAATTTTTTGGATTGAACTTGAATGCCTCCCATTCTCCCTGATGCTTTAGAACCTCAATAAGTTTAGTGCTCCTTCATGAATATAATATATTGTTAGTCCTTGAACTAGTTTCAGTACAGAGGATAGTCATGAGCCCATTAGATGGGTACAGTACAAGTGGTAATTGCAGACCAGTAAACTATAGATGCCATATATCATTGGGTACAGTATAATGGATATTTGTCAATCCTTATGCCAAATACTCTGCAGTGGGGGGGGGGGAAGCTATGAGCCTTTAAACTGGTGGCTAATGTTAGAATGTGCTAATTTAAGCCTTGCAAGCAGTACTATGCAACCTTGGACAGTCTCTCACTGAGGCAGGGTGACCTGAAAGAGAAACACTCTTGCCATCAGGTATTGAGATATTTACACTGTCTGTACACATGTATTATCATTTGTCACATCATATTTCTCATTAAAAGCAGTTGGAGTGAAATAAGACACTAGCTAGTGACAGAATTACCAGCAGTTGCCTGACATGGATTTTGTATATTTTCATGCATTTTGTTTCTAGTTTTCTTTACTAAACATTAATAATAATTTGTATAGAGTTCTACTGGTATCATTGCCACTGCAGTCTTCAGATATATTATTATGCACTATCATCAGTTCGTGAAAACAATGTTAGCATGCTGTATCTTCCAGAATGTTAGAGTACAGTTTTTGTTTCAAAGAAGCAACAATTATTTTTTCCTGGATGTAAATTTTACTCATAAGAAAATCAAGATGTTTTCTTGATGAATACTACTAAAATTATTTGCAAGAGAGACTTCAGTAAAACTTTTGAATAATCAAAATCCATGAAATTTCAGAGCTGACTGACGTACTCGGTTGTCCAGGTGCACACTTTGCGACTCGTACTATATTTAAGGGGCATGTCTAAATGTATGTAAATTTCAAGTTTGCCACCAGTCTTCCTGAAAATTCTGTACTTGAACTGTGCTATTGGGTTAACTTTATTAGTACTGTACTATACATGTTCTGTTGACTGCCACTATGCTCACTCTTTTGTGCTTTTGGTTTTTATGTATGGGCTCAAGCATACATATACATATAGAGCATGTATGGGCCCAAACATACATATGTGGAGCATGAGCATAGGAATACATACAGGGAGCATTTATGGGTCCAGGCATACATACATGGGAAATGTATAGGTCTAGGCATGTACAATATGTGGCTGGCCATACATGAAGTGCATAAGGGCCTGGGCATACTGAGGATGTATGCACTCAGGCATAGTAATACTGTACTGTATTAGTAATACTTAAATTGGTTACTAGGAAATTATTCACAAGTGTTATAATTTTATGGAAAGTCCGTAGCATGTACACCATGATGAGGAGTCTTTAATTTCAACTAAAATATTTAATGCTAAAAAAAAATTTGTTTGGGGCACATATTGGCCTGGGCATGCATATATGGAGCATATTCAGACCCAGGCATTCATAAATGAAGCATGTACAAACCTGAACATTTGTATGTAAGAGCATATTTGGAACTGTGCATATGAATGTTGAGCATGTATAGTCCTCGGCATACATGGTTCATGTCTGGAGTTCATACATACATGGAGCATGTATAAGGCTGAGCAGATGCACATGGGGGCTTCTAAAGGGCCCGGGTATATCAATGTGAGCTTTACTGGCATTCATACACACATTCACTAGGGATGGTATCTTAGGGGAACAGTTAAGATAGTTCAAACTGGATGAAATTGAGCATTTTCTTAAAATTATTAGTTTTGGTTTTCTGTGGCTTAACTTAAATACCTTTATATATGGCATTTTTTCTTTATATACATTGCTCAGTGTGAAGTGCAAGTGAGGGGAAAATTAGATACATGATAAAACAGGAATTAGTGAAAAACGTGAAGTTAAGGCAGAGAGTAGTACACTTAAGTACCAGATGGTAAAACTTGCTTCTTGAGGCAGGAGTGCTAAATACGTATTGTCACTGCTGAACCCATCATTCTTGCTAGCAAAACTTTGTGGCTTGGCAGTTTAATAGTAGCAGACCAAGGTCAGTTTTTCTTGAATTGGTAGCCTTGTGTAGCATTCTGCCTACATAGGTTTTGATAGTAATGATTTATGGCATACATTATTTGGGTAAGGTACAATGTGTATGTATATAAAGACTAAGTTGGGTTGACTGATCTCAGAGTGCAATGCATTACTTGTAGTCCATTGTAGTAATTAATCACATTTTTTGTAACCACTTACATCTGAGAATTGTAGGTTTCCTTTTTGGAAAGATAATTTTAACCTTTTCACTATCCAGACTCCGCAAATTAATATTACTCTGTGTCCACATTTAAAAAAAAAAATCTGAACTGGTAGAGAAACTTTTTTGAAAGTAATGACACCAAAAGTACGAAATGGGATGGAAAACTTATGGAATTACGTAGGCACAAAGATATTGGTCTGGGTGCAGTTTATGTATTGATATTTCACCCAGTTTGAGACCTATTTTAAGCCAATTCCACTGCTCTGTTCAACCAGATTCTTGGATATTTTCCTAGTATGCCTTCCTTTCTGTTGATTGAGCACAAGAAACTGTCCGTTCAGCTGTTAGATAGTACAATATTAAGTGCACAAAAGTTGGTAATTTGGCTAGTTTTACACTATTAAAAACTATTCTATTTCAAAAACAGTCCAAAATATACATTGTTGACATTCCATGTACTAAAGCATTTTTTCTTCATTAATAGTGTCTCAGGCCTCTCCTATATTATACAGTGATACTTAGTTACTAACTTATTCGTTCCGGAAGGCTGTTCGAGTGCCGATACCAAATAAATTTCTTCTCATTAGGAATAATGTAAATTAGATTAGTTCATTTCAGACCCTCAAAAATACACTTGCAAAAGCACTTGCAAAAATCTTTTTTCTTTCTTTCTTTCAACGTACCAGCCGTATCCTACCGAGGTGGGGTGGCCCAAAAGGAAAATCGAAAGTTTCTCCTTTCAAATTTAGTAATATATACAGGAGAAGGGATTACTAGCCCCTTGCTCCCGGCATTTTAGTTGCCTCCTACGACACGTATGGCTTACGGAGGAAGAATTCTGTTCCACTTCCCCATGGAGATAAGAGGAAATAAACAAGAACAAGAACTAGAAAGAAAATAGAAGAAAACCCAGAGGGGTATGTACATATATCCTTGTACATGTATGTGTAGTGTGACCTAAGTGTAAGTAGAAGTAGCAAGATGTACCTGAAATCTTGCATGTTTAAGAGACAGAAAAAAGGACACCAGCAATCCTACCATCATGTAAAACAATTACAGGCTTTTGTTTTACACTCACTTGGCAGGACGGTAGTACCACCCTGGGCGGTTGCTGTCTACCAACCTACTACCTAAACTTGCAAAAATATGCTTACATAATTGTTCGAGTTAGGAGCTGTTTGAAACTCGAGGTACCACTGTACTTGTCTTCCCTTTGGAATTCATAATCATGAAAAATTAAAGATTTTCCCTATTTCTTGGATTAAAAAATACTATAACCAGGAATGATTGGTCATGATTTACGGCATCCCAGTAATTGAATCTGATTTAGTAAAACCCAATAAAACAGACTGTGAGGTGTAGGGGGCCTTACCTGTCCTCATGAAAATTGAAAAAAAAATATTTCCATTACTTAGAGCCCAATTTCAAGCTATCTCTGGTTCTAAAATCAACCAAAATTGTCATTTAGTATATATTCCATTCTATGCAGTGTTATGAAGAAACAGCCAATAAAACCATAAAAACCATTCTAGAAAACCTCAGTTTCTATTCAGGTCAAACACAGTCAAACTTTGTTTTTCCATTATGCATTGTGGGGCAGCATTTTGATATTGTGCACTCACTGCCCAGACCCATTCTCTCACATACACATCAAAATTTACCACTCGCAGCTTATCTGAGGAAGCTGTGCCTAAAACGTAAATCTACTTGAAGGACCCTGGCATCAGTGGTGTAGAGGATTAAGCCACCTTTTATAGAAAATACATATCATTACAGGAGTAATCATTTTAAATTTCTTTAATTTAAATATTTTCATTTTTCAATTCAGATTTTTTCCTCAAGGACTTAATAGCAAATTTTTGTACTAGTTCTTTGAAAACCTCTGTTGTACAGTTTATGGAGTTAACTGGCTTTAAATGTACTAATTGTTGTAGCAGAATTTTAATTTCTCATAGTAAACTCTTGTGTTAAGACAGCATCATTGTTGGTCCATCTATCCATCCATCCCTAAGTTTGTACATCAGTCGATTCTGTCTTTATCTTTCCATTAGTCTGGCTGCCTCTCATCTTCGTGTACTAGTTGTACGCCTACACTACCCTATTTTGGCCTAATGACTGAGGTATCAGACGTTAGCAAGAAATGATAA